TGTAGCCATGGAAGTTCAAGCCCCTTATTTCTTTTTGTCTTGGGCGAGGGTTATGGGTCCCAAAAGAAAAAACCATATCTTCGATTCATTGGTCACAACTGGGCAACTGAGAGCCTTTCGGCTGGGTCCAGCGCGAGGCGGGCACCGTCATCCTGCAGAGGTCGGACCTCGAGCAGTGGCTCGGATGCAACGCTCGGCATTTTGAAGGGGGTTTGCTGGCTAGGGCTAGAGGCGAAAACCCCCTTTGCTGGCTAGGTCATGGTTGTCGTTGGGAAACATTTTACATTTTTACTTTTTGTGGTTTAGTGGGAAATCCCCACTTAACCGCTAAAACATATTTTTTTGCTCCCCTTCCAACGTCAACCAAGAGGTTCCTCTGAGGAGGAGGCCAGCGACAGTGTTCTGCCTAGGTTGGATCTTTGGACCTGAACTTTTTGCTTGAAACCAGTGGATTTTCCGTTAAACCCGCAAGAAGTTAAAGTGCTTGCTGAGGGGTCAACAGCAACCAAGATACATGGCTGCTGTTGGCTCGGATCTTCAAGCTTCAACTTTTCGGGGGGGAAATTGAGCTTTTTTTCTCCACTAGCAACATGAAAAGTTATTTTTGTGCGGGGAAAAATAGCTGTATATAGAAGGATTACGCACATGCTGCTCTTATGGTCATGGCTAAAATTGGTTTCCAAGCAGCCCTCAATCCCGTTCAGATTATTTAGGCCCGTGCCTTGCCCAGCTCCCAGATGGTCCAAGTGCCCTGTGAGGATGGTTTTGAGTCGAGGTTTGCTGAAGTAGGCGAATCCCCCCCCAAGAAACAAACAATGAAAAATGCTTTCAAATGAGGTGCAGAAGGACCAGCTCGATCTATCTGACCAATAGACACCCTCATAGGTCCGCGATTCGGGAGGTGCTTGCTTGCGTATGAAGGCTCCTTGCTTAGGGGCTTCCTCATAGCTTGGTGAACATAGATATCCTTCTTTAGGTTAGTTTTAGTCGGAATAGATGGCACAGGGTTAGATTGGTTGTACCTATTTATCAGCGCTAGATATTTGTTCAAAAGATCACCTATTATGTTGATGAATGTTTATTCTCCGGTTACTCCACTTGGCAAGTAGAACCGTGGGGAAAGTGTTGCCAAGTGCGCTCGTGTGATTTTTTCTGTTTTGTGCCGTGCAGCATTTGCGATTTGCCAAAAGGGCTGGCCCTCTTTTTTCCACTAACTGGGATTCCCTAAGGTCGCGCCAGCATTGTTTGTTCTGGTGGACTCCGTTTGTTTCTTCCACGGAATGTACCACTCAACCAATGTGACCTGAGAAAACCTTCAGAAGCTCAAGGCTGGGCTCATGAAGGGTCTGAAGGGTATGTTTTTTGAGGTGCCCTGGCAGAATTGTCAGCCCCAAGCTTCTGACCCGTCCTTCCAGAATACCCTAAGGCCGTAAGTCCTTTCGACGGATACTTGCATTTGGGGAAGCAAGTGTGTTTGTGTGTGTGTGTGTCTTGCACATTTGGTCGTTGTCCAGGGGAATTTTAGACTTCACAGCCTTTTGAGGGGAACACGGTACATTATGAGCCCCATATTTGGTGACCAAGCGGGTGTATGAAGCAGTGTCAATTTGTGTCAATGACTTTCGTCCTGTCTGAGACTTTACCCTGAACACCAGCAACTCTACAAATCTGGACTTTAGAAACCTTTTTGGGAGACCAGTTGAGTGGTAGATAAAAAGTTCTGGTTTTTCAGGAAGCTCGGGCACATGCCAGGGACCACTTGAGGGGTTGGGCCTCGAATCAAATCAGAGAAGCGAATTCTTGGCGCATCGCCGCGCGAAATTGATATAGGCCCGCGGCACCTCCTGCCCCCGCGAAGCTGATTCTCACCGAGCCTTTGTTTTAAGCACCAAACATTGCAAGTTCCCAGTGGAATAAATATGATCCGGACACCAATCACCCCAGCTCACCGATTTTTTTTCGGAAACGCCCTTCTCATTCCTGGGCTTTTGGCTCTTTACATGGTTTGGGTCCATTTCAATACTGTGGATGGACGCAACCCCATTTCGCACCACCGTTCAGAAACCCAACGGTTTCTGATTCGATTCCCCTGCAAATACCAACGAACGTTATGGTTCCAACCAAGGTTTCAAAGTTGTGGCACGGTCGAAGGGATTTCGCGTCCATCCACCCACAGCTATGAGTGTGTATCTTTTTGGAGTTGGAACCCCCTTTTGGCTTTTTTTTGAAACTGAAGCCCAAAAGGACACCGAAATGCATGTTCCCATTCTTTTTGACCATCCTTCTTTTCAAAAGCTCGCTTTCCCCTGGGTTGTGACCATCGGTTTCCTGAAAAGAAGAGCCCAACAGGAGCCCCAAACGGTTTCGATGGCGACTCGAGGAAGACGGTGGAGCTCAGCATCGAGCTGCCGAGCGGCGAGCGCGTTGGTGCGGGCTTTGTGGACTACGAGCCCCGCGGCGAAGCGACGGGAACTCTGAACTGAGCGCTTCGGGGGGGCGGGGGCTTGAGTTCTCTTTGGTGCCAGTACTTTTTCCCCATCCTTTCTCCTTCCTGGAAATGAAAATCTTTTTCATTTTGCCCCCTCCCCCCTCTAAAGGGGTGATGTTAAATCAACAGAACAGGGGATGCATGGAGCCTCGAACTACCATGCAATTTGGGGAGATGTCCCATGTTTGAGGGTATTTTGAGGGTAGATGTCCCATGTCCCATCTTTGTTGCAGTTTGCCAAGGGATGTTAGGACTAACTTTTTGCCAACTGATGGGTTTTCCGTATTAAACCACTAAAAGGGGGCACCATGGGCACCCGCAAAATCGGAGGTGTTTCATGTGTGGCTGGGTGGGCAAGGATTCTTGTCGGTTTTCCTTGTTGCCATTCCTTGGGTTCGGGAATGAACCGGGATTCCCTGAAAGGACACCAAACGAACCACAAGGGATGGTTGTGGGGGTCATTCCCTCATTCCCTCATTCCCTCTTTCCCGCATATGTCCGTGTGTGTCAAAAAGGAGGCACGGGGAAAAATGGAGGTGTTTCATGTGTGAGCGGGCAAAGATTCTGGTTGGTGTTCCTTCAAACCAAACAAGGATGTGTGTGTGTGTGCCCAGATCAACAGCATGAAAAGTCAACAGACCCCTCTGCCATAATAGCTTTCTCGTGTGTGTGTGTGTGTGCGTGTGTGTCACAAAGGTGTTCTTGTTTGTTTCCATTTGAACCAAACAAGGCTACCCTCAAAAGACACCTCCACATTTGGTGAAACTTTGGGTTGCAAAGACTTCCTTTTGATTGTTCTTGTCAATACATTGTCGGCTCACTGAACATGGACCATAATCAAAACATGTATGGTCTCACTTGGAGATCTTGGAACCAAAGGCTGAGGCAGAAGTGTGGCAATGGTTTAGAAACCAACGTTTTGCAACAAGGTCTCTCTGGAAGCCAAGATGCAAGATGATTTCCAGGTCTTTTCGCATGGTTTACTCATAACAAATCTGAAGACCAAATGGAAAAACGAACCAGGTTTACTGGGAAAAATCCGTTTCCGGAGCCCTTCATTTTCAGAGCCCTTCTCTCCCCTTCACACTTTAGATCCCCCGGATCCGGAGGGTTCGACCCCAGATTCCCGGAAAAAAGTGAGCCCTTGCGAGGCTTTCTGTGGAAGAAAATGGTGGTAACCTCGCGAAGTGTGTTTACTGCATATGTTTACAACCCGACTTCTCATCACAGGCCTTCAACTACCAATTCTTCCCCTTGCAGCTAGAACCCGACACGCCAGGAAGTTACCCCTAGAGCCCCGCTGGGATCTCCAAAAACAGCCAGTGTTTTGTCCTTAGAAAGTTATTGCTAGTGTTGTATTAGCCCCAGACCTCGTTATTTGAGGCCTTTGGGGGGTTTAAAGCCCCCATATGTTGGGTTTAAGGGGCTCCTAAAGGGTTTTCTCAAAGTGGCACAGAAGCCAAAGATACGATCTTCGTTTCCGCACGGGCGGATCGCCGCGCCGGACGCCCAAGGCAGCTGGTCACGCGCTGGTCCGAGCAGCGCCACACTTGGGCGCAGGGGGAACCGCTGGAGCTCTCGCTGAGCGGGGGCGCGGGCAAGCTGCGGTGCAACGTTGTGAGCTCTGAGCCGAATTTGGAGCGCAGCCTTTTGTTTTGTTTTCGGGTGCCCCCCCAAGAATAAATAGAGCAAAAATAAAACGAAAGTTCCTGTTTCAACAAATATCCAGTTGGCACAGGGTTCTTTTTTTTATATCCCCCGCGCGTGCCCTCCCCTGAAAATCAAGTAAAGGCTCCTATTTCGACACATATCCAGTTGGCGCAGGGTTCGCCCCCATAGATGTAGAAAAGCGACAAATGCGACAGAGCTCTTGTTGGCACAGCGGTCGCCTCCATAGTTTCCACTCCAAAAGCTTCTGACCTATGCGCATGACTCATAGAATCCGGAAAAGCAAAGCTTGGAACATGAGCTAGGCGCACAAACAGACAGTTTGTCCCATGTTCTGCAGCTGGTTTCTTAGAATATTATAGTCTTTAGACCTGTGGGGCTAAACGATTTTATGTGTGTTTGACACATCTTTTTCATTTCAGCCCGGGGCAGCTTTCTCGCATTTGATTCGCGGCTTTGGATTCGGGCAAATTTGGGTGCTCAGTTTTCTCGCATTTGATTTTTGGGGGGGCGTTTGGGGCTTGGGCATCGTCTCGCAAATGTATGGCCCTAGGGCAGAGCCTATGGCGATCCATTTTGGGGTGGATGAACATCCATCCAGCTATTTTGATGGTCAGGGTGGGGCTTGGACCAGCCGTGCTGAGGATGGGGGACGCCCGGGGAGATATGCTGGAGATGCCGAAGAGCGTCTTCAGCTCGTTGGTGCCCGGGGCGGTGTGGTTCCACGGGGAGCAGCGCATCGCGCGGGGCTCAGCTGCACTCGGCGCTCGGCGCTCGGCGCGGGGTTGGTGGAACCAAGCCCTTGGAGGTCAGACCAGGTGCGGGCGAACGGGTTCCAGCTGGCACCAAAGGATCCGTGTTAAGAATTGGGTGTGCCTTTTTTTGAGGGTACCTGTAAGGAAAGCCCACCATTTTTGGTGGACCCCCTAAAAACAGGCACACCCATAATTCCAGAACCCCCTGAAATTCTGAAAACGGTGGTTGAAACGGCGTGTATCATCCACTCTGCGGAGCATGAAACCTTAGAGGAAGCTCCTTTTAGGGAGGCGTCCGTATTTTGCAGGGCACTGGGAACCATTTGGATTCAGAAGCCCTTGGATTGGGGGTGTCCCATTTCGGGAATCCAAGAGGGAATCCCTCTTCGCACTTGTGCGGGGAACACGTGATGAAATCTTGGGCTCATGGCCAGACGATGCCCTGAGAAACGAGCTGCACTGCTTGGAAGCGAGTCGTTAACCCCTGGGTGGATACTTGCAGAGCTTCCTTTTGAAACAGGTTCGCCGGGTTTTGACGGGGTTGATCGTCGTCACCCCACCCATTCCCTGGGCGAGTTTAGACCATGGCGTTCTCTTCAAGAAATTTCATGATCTTGAGCTCCTGGACCTCTAAATTCGCAGAGTTTCAGGGAAATTGGCAAGCCGCGGAGGGGGGGAATTCCCCGAAAGCTTTAAAGCGCAAGAAGCTCCCCCTGTACGACCCAAAAATGGACCGAAGCCCAAAATCCAGGGGGATTGCAGGCGCTCAACGTGCTGGTTCTCGGAAAAATCGGTTTGGGGAGTTTCGGGTGGCAGGGGTTCTGGATCCAGCAAAAGAAGCCTGAAATGGTGAAAAGTGCAGGTGTCCAACTCATGTTTTGAGAAGCAAGAAGCAGAGTTTCTTTATTCCGTGAAATCTACCCCTGCAGTTCTCAGTTTACAAAATCATCTTTGAACTGCTTACATTTGGACAGTCTTTTACCCAGCTGCAATGCCAGGTGGATCTGTCTTTTTTGAGAGTACCACATGTTTCTCGATTTTAATGGGAAAGCACGAGGAGAATACCACAATTCGTGTGGGTTTTAAGGGGAAGCCAAGAGGAACGTACCACCATTTTGTGCAGGTCAACGTTGTTCCAGACTTCTCCCTTTTTTTCCAGGGATCCTTCTTTTTGCCTCCGGAAACCCACGTTTTTTGCGAAACAAATGATCGTCGAAAAGAAGTGGGAATCAAGCCCAGTTCATTCCCCCCCCAAAAACCTATATCACAAAACAACAAAAAACAAACAAAGACAGACACACTCAGGTCTCTCAGTGTTCAGCCCAGTTCATTCCCCCCCCCCCCCCCCGGCAAAAAAAACAAAAAACAAACAAACAAAAAACCAAGGTCTCTCAGATTGTTTGTTTTGTTCATCCCCCCCGCCCCCGCCAAAAACAACAACAACGACAAACCAAGGTCTCTCAGATTGTTTGGTTTGTTCATCCCCCCCCGCCAACAAAAACAACAACAAAAAACCAAGGTCTCTCAGATTGTTTGTTTTGTTCATCCCCCCCGCCCCCGCCAAAAACAACAACAAAAAACCAAGGTCTCTCAGATTGTTTGTTTTGTTCATCCCCCCCCCCCGCCAAAAAAAACAACAACAAAAAACCAAGGTCTCTCAGTTTTTGTTTTTTGTTCATCCCCCCCGCCCCCGCAACCCCCCCCCCCCCCGCAAAAATAAAATAAAATAAAACGAAAGGTCTCTTAGGTGTTTTCTTTTTGGGGTGGCTCTGACGAAGGTGCACTGGTACCTTCCGGGGCTCCTGAAGCACCTGCACACGCTGGGCTTCCTGGCCAACCAGGAGGTGCCCAACGAGGACCGAGGGGGCGAGCCGAGGCGATGGGGTTGCTTCCAATCAGCAAAGAATCACAGGGTGGTCGTTGGGATTTACATGTTTCCCATTTTTGCGCAAATTGTGGTTTAGTGGTTGAAATCCAACCACTTAAGTGCCAACATTTATTTTTTTGCTCCCCTTCCAACGTCGACCAAGATCAGTTCTGCGCTCTTTGTGGCCCTCAGCAAGTGAGTGAAAGGCATATAATGGGCCAAACAATCAGCAAAGAATCTCTCAGGGAGTTGATTTTTTCTCTCACTTGCCAAGTCTCGGGGCTGTCTACTTGTTCTTTGGTGCATTTTGCCAAGGGCTGTGAGGACTTTTTTTAACTTTTTGATCCAACGAAGAGGGTTTTCCGTGCTAAACCACTAAACGTTATTCACTTTTAGCAGGGGAGCAGAAAGCAACCGAGAATCAGTTCTGGACTCTTTGTGGCCCTCAGTAAGTAAGTTAGAGCATAGTTACACCCATATGTACATGTGCCATCCAAGGATTGTCAGCCGAAGGTCGCCCAACTTAGCTAGGTCCCCCAGCTAGGTGCCCGACCTTTCACCCATTTCTTTTTTGGTTGGGAGGGTTCCCCTAAATACTCTTTTACCAACTTGTTTGGTTGGTTTTGGGTTCCCCTAGAAATAGACTACAGAAAACGAATCGGGTACCAACTTATTCTAAGCTCTCAAATCTGGAGGACCTAGAATGGGGTTTTGCTGGAAAAGGTTGGGTGGGGAGATTGAGTGGGGGATTGTTTTGTTGGGTGTTTGGCGGTTGTGTTTTTGTTTGTCATGCTGTTTCTGCATATGTTCCTTTTTTGGCCATTTGATTTTGGGGAAAAGGGTTTGTCGGTTTTCTTGAGGTTTGCAGGAGGTTTTGGGGGATTTTGCGGGATGTTGGGTTAGGAGGTAAGTACGCGGGTTTGTCTTGGAAGACGGTTGGAAGATGGGAGAAGTGTTGGGTCCCGAGCAGCTTGGAATACTTGGGAATGACTTCCCACACCAGCCGAATCTTTCCGATCTGCGCTGTTTTTTCAAGCTTGTGTTTGTCACTCGACAACAGGAGATTCGAAGCACTCACTTGCCCAAAGGCGACCGGAAATTCATTGGTCCATTCTTAATGTTAACCCCGGATTAATAAACCCCAGGTTGATTTTGATCGGGGGGTGTCCCCTTTGAGTGGTTGGATTCAGACCACTTTTGGAGGGAATACCACCCAAATAATGGGACGGGTCTACTTAGATCCTGGGTTAACATTGCTCATGGCCCAAGGTTATCTTGGGTCCTTCGGGCTGAGAACAGCAATGCCGAGACGAGCAATCCAATGTGCCAAAAAGCGGCGCTGGGGAGGCATGCGGAGCGCGGACCCAGTGTTTGATTTGTGGACTACTCGGGTAGATCTTGCCAAGGAAGCTCTTCGTGGTACTCTTCCTTGGGGTAATCTCCAATCGAGGTCTTCAATTTTACACGCAAGCCCTAGGCGGGTTGGGTTCACTTGAATTGGAGTGCTTTGGTATTGCGTTGCTTGTTGGTTTGACATGCAGAAGGTGGTGCTAGGGGGTGACTCTCTTGCTGAAACCTTTCCGACTCCCCAAAGCCTGGGGGAGAGAATCGAAGGTTGGGGGACCAGAGGGAAGTGTCCTTTGACTAGGCAACAAAACAATCCCAATCCAGCACGAAGAATCTTTAGGGATGTTCGCCGAGATAGCGCTTGGCACGTGTGTTCACAGGGCAGCAACCACTTACAGAACAGAAACCAAGAACACGGCGAATCCAAGAACCCAATGTCTCACTTCCTGAGCTCCGTTTCGGATAATTTTGCTTTTGGGGTTTGGCCCATGTCAGTGGTAAGCAGAAAGTTTGGTTTCGGGTTTCGGCCAATCCGCGAATCAGATTCGATAAGTGAGATGTATCACGCTACCCAACTTCCGCTGATGCCTTCTCTCCCTTTTGAGCCAATCGACCCGAAGAATATGGTCCATCGGGGCGCGCAGCTTTTTTGTGTTTGAGCCCGTCATGCTGGATGTTGGGGGCAGCTAAGCAATCCAACAGAGAGAGTTCTTTTATTTCCCTTCTTTTGACCTTCACAAACTGTATGAAACAACTCAGTCAGCGCGTGTCCGTGCATTCAGCACAACGCTTTCATTGGCGCCCAATAAATTCATTCTCGTTTGAAGGAGAGATCCTGTGACAGGGAAATGGCGGGACCCTCTACAAGAGAACCTGCTGAAACCTGCTGAAGTGCAACCGAGTCTTCCTGGCCCTGTGACATAAGGGACATGGCGGGACCCTCTCACCAGCGTCTTCCTGGCAGCGAGGAGTCGCTTCTCTTCACATTGGCCGCGGTGCCGCTGGCAGGGGGCGAGGCCGGGTGACGAGGTTTCAGCGCGGGCGCGGGATGCTGCCGATGCTGCATTTGGTGTGCACCAAAATGTATATGAAAAGCTTCCCCCTCCCCCCCCCCCCCGGCCCGGCATGGTGTTGGGTTTGCGCTTCTTTTGCAAGTGTCCCAGTCTTTTTCTTGTTTTCCGAGGTCCAAAATTAGCCAAAGCGGCTAATTCAACAGGGTAGTAGAAAGGACCTGGTAGAGTATATGCTCGTTTGAGGAGGACGAGCAGGGCCCGCCCAAATCTCCCACTGACGCCAGTTTGGGGCAGCAATGTTTTGTGCGTGTCTGGAAAGTAAGTGCACTTTAAAGGGCTTGTGTTGAGGAGAAACCAAAAGGAAACTTGTTACGACAAGCCAAAATAGAGGACCATTCCTTGTTTTGTAGCATGACCTTTCAACCGCTCGCATGACCATTTTTGCCGGCTTCAGACTAGGCTGGGGTTCAGCAAGAGGCCTTTTATCAGATTCTTCCGCATTCATCTAGGGACGCTTTTTGTGCTGTAACGCCGTGCCCTATGTTGTTCATGGGCTTTTTGTAGGTCTTCCCAACTGTACCTGTGAGGCCAAACGAATGGCTCGAAATGACATACCGGCCGGGTGGACCCATGCTCCGGTATGAGCTGATGACAAGCGCTAGCAACAGAAGGCCTCTGGACACCGCTGACACGAGCTGCACAGCGACTAAGTCACTACGAAAGAACCGAGACACCACTTGGAAACCAACCCACACCCAAGACACCGGTTCGGAAGACGGGACAACCATGTGGACACCGCGTTGGCACTTGCGCAACACCCGGTTGGCACTGGCGGAAAGCTTAGAGCACCACCAAAACGTTACTGGCACACCGAAAAACGCCACTGACAGGCGCACCATAGACCCCGGACATCACAGGAACACCACCAAGATCCCGCGAAGACACCGGAATATCACCGAAACGACACCGGCGACACTGCAGGACAGCACCGATCTTTGCGGGTCAAATGGAAAGCCTTGGCCCCAGCCCAAGACCTTATATGTTTTGACGCCTTCGCCTTCGGTTCAAGGCTCTCTAAGTCCACGCCGACCGGCGCCGATCGAATTTCTCAAGGGGTTTGGTCCATCAGTTGAGATGCTTTGTAGATGGGCCATTGTGGTGCTCACGAAGCTTGGACATTTGGCCAATCCACTCAGAAAATAAGTCCCAAGATAAGGACATGTATCTACCTGCAGGCAACCTGCCCACGGATACACCGACATTCGGCGTAGTTGGTTTTGCCAAGCCTTGCCTCGAGTACTTGAGTAGTTTTGGTCTCGGACCAGAAAACGACGCCAGAGAAGCATGGATATTCACTCCTTTTTCGGCAGCCTGCTAGGTCCCCACGTAGTGCCCTTCTCTCCCCTTTTTTGGGGGAAGGTTCCCTAAAATAAACTACAGAAAAAATCGGGTACCAACCTCTCAAATCTGGAGGACCTAGTCCATTTTCCAGGGTTCCGAACCTCAGACCAGGGATTGCTTAAAGCGCCGGAATCGTGTCGAAGCGAAAAAGTCGGCTTGGAGCGATATCTTGCACTGGTCCTTCACAGAGATCCTCTCAGAAGGTCTTGCACCCGCAAAGGCTTCGTTGCGAGATCTTGCGGAGGATGCTCCCTACAGACGCTGAAGAGACAACTTGCGGAGGATACGTTCAGGGATCACCTGATTTATGCACAAGACCTTGGTAGCATCTCTTAGCAATATCTGTCTACAGAATCTCTTGAGAAGATCTCTTGGAAAGGCCTGTGTGCAGGATCCATGAGAGGATCCTCTACAAGCTCTCTGCCAGGATTTGTAGAGAGCATTTACTACAAGATACTTCGCAAGCAAACCGATATCAGAGCCAGCGCCGTGTCGCAACGTCACGCGAAAAGTAGAGGACTACGCAAGCGATGTTATATATTCTGAAACCAGCACCACGTCCGCACCCAAACGCCGTTAGGATTGCGCGAGCGATATCAGCACCAGCACCACGCCACAACAAGAGCGATCCGACATGCGCCGAATGCCGCAAGGGTTGCGCGGACGATGTCAGATGAAAAAAACAAGCCCAGGCATTCCAAGTCCTGCGCCTGCCATGCGAGCTCATCAGCGCGCAGTAAGCCTAAACAAATGGGGGGCTGTCACAAATGCATGTCTTATGTCCAATGCATGTATTTGGGTATTAGCTGCGCGCGATTGGTGAAACTGCGAAAGGCCAGCGATTGGGCCGCGATTGGTGTGGGTGACCCCTCAGGGTCAGTGGAAGCAAGACTGGATAACCCCCAAAATGACAACGGTCTCACAAATCAAGCGCTTTCAAGGCTTCAAATTCCACGTAAACTGGGGACACGGCACACACGCGAGAATGTCGTTCGGTAACACCGGTCTCCGCCCGGGCCGTTTCGCGCGACCCTGCGCATTCGAAACCAGATGGAACTTTAGCGCAGTCTACCATGCCATGCTCAGACCGTTAGAACCGGGCCAAGCTCCCTACCAGCTGGGGTCTTGTTTCATTTCTCTCCTCTACAGAGAAGACCATGGGTGTTGCCCAAGAGCAGTCCCAGTGCAGTCTTGAGCAAACAGCATCGTGTGTGGCCCCTTGCTGGATCTGACTGATGCGGTTTATGTAGGTCATGCGCAAATAGCAACCCGTGGGCTTCTAGTGGAACTGTGGGTTTCTCAAGGTTGTCTGCGGTTGCCAGCACGCGAACCCCGGACCCCGGGGCATCAGTTCAAAACTAACTGGCAGCAAACATTGATGCGCGGAACTCAAGCAGAGGCAGCGTACTCAAACGCGGAAGCTCCTCGCTCGGCTGCTTGCGTAGGCTGGCGCTTCGCGCGCTTTGGAGTCATGAGCATGAATTGCTCCAGGTGTGGTTTTGCTTTCGCAGAAGCGGAATGGCAGAACACGTCTGGTTGGGTGACTCAAAGTAAGTTGCGTTTTTGTGGGTTTACCTAGGGGCCCCTGCAAGCGCGTTCTAAGTTTCCGACATGTCTTTGCGGGTAGTCAAAGATGCGCGAAAAAGAAGGCTAAGGCTTGGTTGGGTTCAACTGAGGAGCGACTGAGCAAAGACTATTGTAACGGGCAACTGCGTATTTGGCTTACAGTTGGGTCAAAGTAGATGGCACAACTCCTTCATCTTGGTCCGCCCACATACACGGAATTGCGCCAATTAGCGTGGTGGCAGGCACCCGTTGGAAAACAAGGAAACCGCGCGTTGGTCTTACTTCGATGGCCGTGCCGCCTTTTGGACAGGTGGACCCACAAAGGAATAACCAACTTTATGGAAACCGCGCGGTAGATCTAACAACTAAGGCAGCCCAAAGACACCTCTTGAAACTGACGGTGCCGCATACCCATGAGAGTTATGGGTGTTGTTTTCAGGGATTGATTTGGAATGACAGAAGCACCAGCCCCGATGGTTTCCTATACGGAGTCCCCTTCGCGCCCGGACTCGGTCATTCCCTGACCACCTCCCGGAAACCGAGAGCCCGCAGGCGGTGCCTTTGGCTGGGGAATTCGAGGCAGCGGACCTGCGCATGGCCGTGGAGGCGATTCGCCGCGAATTGGGGCTGGGGCTAGACGCAAAGGACAACACGCGGCGGAGATGCGCGCAGCATTGTTGGGGTGTGGTTTGCGTTGTTTAGTTGTGTCTTGTTGTGTTTTGTTGTTGTTGTGTTTTTTTTGTTGTTGTTGTTGTTGTTGTTGTTGTGCTGCTGCTGCTGCTGCTGCTGCTGCTGCTGCTGCTGCTGCTGCTGCTGCTGCTGCTGCTGCTGCTGCTGCTGCTGCTGCTGCTGCTGTTGTTGTTGTTGTTGTTGTTGTTGTTGTTGTTGTTGTTGTTGTTGTTGTTGTTGTTGTTGTTGTTGTTGTTGTTGTTGTTGTTGTTGTTGTTGTTGTTGTTGTTGTTGTTGTTGTTGTTGTTGTTGTTGTTGTTGTTGTTGTTGTTGTTGTTGTTGTTGTTGTTGTTGTTGTTGTTGTTGTTGTTGTTGTTGTTGTTGTTGTTGTTGTTGTTGTTGTTGTTGTTGTTGTTGTTGTTGTTTCTGGCGTGCTGTGGTTTGATTGTTTAATGTGTGTATTTTCGTTTTTGTGTTGTAATGCTTGGCCCCCTTCTGTCGAAAGCGTCAGCCCCTCCCCCCTGCAAAAGAGAACCCCTGAAAGGACACCTTCCAATGATTGGGGTTTCCAGATTTCACACTTAGTCATGTCTAATTTAGTCTTGTTTAATTTAGTATTGGGGATGCTGGGGTTGTGAAAGAGTGTTCGTTATGTTTACCATTAACAATGATGTTTGTATTCTAGTTTTAGAAGGGCTTTGTATGATCAGGGAAGATGTTAGTATTGATGTTTGTTTGTTGGCGGTGTGTACCTGCGCGAGCGAGCGTTCTCTTGCTCGGGCCCCAGGGTCCTGAGTCCCTGAAACTGTCTCATGCCGCATGGTTTTGCCTTTGAGCTGGGCGCGCTAAAACCGTAATTGCTGTGTTTCTCCCACATGTCTAGGTTATATTGCGCTGGTAGGACGAATAGGCCTTGTAGAAATCAAGCTGCCTCTGGACCACGCGCTATTCCACATCAGTACTCGGCCAGTTGCCGTCAACATGGTCACAACAACATGTGCATTGTTGTGCGCAAGGCTCCTGGTTGAAATCAACGTGTTTCCATCTGTCCGCGCCACTCGTCGTCTAGTTGATTAAGCTTCCCAAAAAGAAAGTAACACGAGGATACTGTCCTAATTCCCTTTAAATCTGCGTGAATATGTTGGGGATGTTTTGCAGACACCTAGTTCGCACCCAAAAACGGCTTTACCCGTCTGTGGCCGCACAGAGATGGGACTGTCGCAAAATAGGGCCACTAGAAGTGATAGGCTTTGCAGCAAAGAATGAGTGTTTTTTCATCAATGGTTGCGGGGCATCAAGCTCCAGGACCTAGGGGTCCGGTTGCCAGCATAGCACTGGCGGTGAATAGGTAACCAGTTTTTTTTGTTCAGGATGTTCATCCAAATTGGGTCCTTGTCCTTGGGCCATTCTTTTAATGGGAATCGGCAAGTTGAACCCCAGGGCAGAGGATTTCCGCATGAGTGAGCCCCAGGAAACTCCGAATGAATCTGAAGTCAAGCACCTCGTCACCTTTTGAGTTCCGTTTCTGACCTTTTCTCTTGTTTGGACCTGTTTTTGACGAATCAAACTTGGGTACCTTTAACTGACCAACCCTGGTTTAAATGCAAAACCTGGGTACCTTTTTTGTTAGGATGAATCCGCTCAGGAAGTGAGAGCAGGTTTCCCAATATCCATCCCTTGAAGGGCCATGCCCTTGTTGTTTCGCCTTCCATCATGGTTTGGGGCGTACGGGAACTCGCTTAAGGAGAGTCCTTGTGCAGCATGCACACTTCTATGTTGGTGAGGCTGCATGAATTGGCAGCGACTTGCAATACTCAATGAGCACAACTCTTTTCACGCGGTGGCAGGCCCAAATATGCTGGGAACTGATAGAGACATGAAACAGTACTGAAGCTAGGGCCAGGCACATACAGGTAGAATCAACACACGCCACACACACAAGAGACCAGGGTATCCGTTTTGCTTGGCCTTCTCGGTTTGGCTGTTTGATAGATGCATCAGTTTTGCGCGGACCAGCTCGCTTTTTGGTGGTTAGTCATAGGTCTTTTGACCAAAATGGACGCCCGCAGGTCCCCAACTCCAAGCGTCTCCGCGGCGTCTTCGAGCTCCGGACTCTTGATCCAAATGGCGATGTCCATCAGCAAGTGATGTGTCGCACTGGGCCAAGCTTTGGTTTGAATATGTTCAAACCACTCAGCCAAGCAGCTGTTGCTTTCCCTTCAAATTTGTCAAAGGGGGTTGGTTGAACATATTTTGCTCTTTGACGCGTCTCCCACTTTGCCGCAAAGACGCGACACAGGCCTGATTAGTGCTAAGTGCTTATGTGGGGAAACAAGGGGGAGACTAGCTGGGGCGGGCGGGTGTGGGCAAAAGGAATGTTTGTTGCTTTCCACTCTTCTCGCGTCGGACCCTTGGACAACTTTGCTGCAGCTCACTGCAACTGCCGCTGTCTCCGCCACCGCTGCCGTCGCCGCTGCTGTCATTGTAGCTTGTTTTGCTGTTGTCGTCGTCACATGGCTGCCCTAGTTGTCGTTGATTGTGGCGGTTCAGCTGGTGGCTGCTTTGGTCGTGTTGTCCTGTGAGTATGCATCACATTGCTCGGGGGTCGTACATTGCATACGCACACCCACATGTTTGTTGTTGTTTTGCAGTGTTGTTGTTCTGTGCATATAGTCCTTGAAACGACCCAATCTCCCCATGTCCTAGTCAAATCAGAATAGGTGCGGCCGCCCTTCCAATTAATTATTTGCATCGTTCTGGGAAGACCACTGTACTACTGTACTGTACCACTGGGGATGAACGATTTCCTGCACCTGAGAAACCCTGGTTTCTGATTCGACTCCCCTGCAAATTCCAAAATAAACCACCTGGTTTCATTCCCATGGTAACTCATTTCGTGGTGCGGTCGAACAGATTTCACTCAACCATCCACGGCGGCTCTCTCCACACCGGTACCCTCCCTCCAATCATGGCAGCTGAAGATCGGTTCTTTTTGGGGAACCCCGAAAGGTCCACTTCCATGTTGGAAAGCGGATGCCCCAAAAACAGGTGCAACAGAGCCTAAGACTCCCTGCTCGAGTTTCCCCAGCGGAGGATTGACACCTGCTGGCTGCAGCTCACGGAAAGCTTGGCACGAAAGGCGAGCTTCGCGGTGCAGAAGGTAGGCTTCACCCGGAAACCGCGCGGCAGCAGGTGGTGCAAGCTGCAGGAGACTGGGATGAGAAGACCCTCTCGTAGCCAAAACCACTTGGCTGTGGGTCCTCAAAGTCCAGACCAAGCCACTGGGCTCTTCAGATGGCCAAACATGTGTAAGCAGTATGTAGTGATAGGGTTGGGCTCTTCTCCACTACCCATCCTTCCACAAACACAGCACTTGTGGGATACTTGGAAGATAAGTTTCCTCACGAACCCTCCTGTGAGGTGCTATGTTAGCGGGAGCGTACTTGATGTTTTGGGCTAGACTGAATGTGTGGCAGAATCTGGAGGTCCAGATGGCCAAGCGATTTTAAGTAGTATTCATGGTCACAAAATTCGATGATAGGGTTTGTGGGCACATAACGCAGGTTATATCCCACTTACGAAGTCGGTTGAACAGATATTTCCTAAAGGCTTTTCTTTTTCACGGTTGGCCTTTCTCTTTGTTTTTGTTGCTCTTTATTTTACCAGCAATATGTGTTCGCTTCTTGCTGGCGGTCTTGCTTCCCCCTGTCCCCCACCCCCCTTTGTCCTGGCTTCCAGAACGCTTGTAGTGTCATTGTGTGTCCAACAGTATACTTGGATGCCAGACGCATTTAGTAGCCATAGCTATACAGTGAGATACACCTGTTGGTTGACACATTCACTGTTACAATGGCTACTAAGCAAGTTGGACATCGCAGTCGTTCAAGGCATATGGATGCCCTCTGTTGTGTGTACGTCGGCTTTGGTCGAAAACCAAAAGGGAAACCAGCTTGGACCGAAGGGTATAACCATGACATGAGGACTTTAGAGCCTCCGGCTCACTCCGCCGACATGTCCCTTTTCTCCTTCTTCATCTCTCCCTTGTCTCCCTTGTGTGTTCTGTTGTCCTCTCTCCCTCCCGGCTCGAAGCCCGAGCCGGCCTGGCTGCGAGCCCGAGAGACAGAAAGACAAAGATACAGAGAGAGAGAGAGAGACAGAGAGCGAGACAGAGAGAGAGACAGAGAGAGAGAGACAGAGAGAGAGACACAGAGAGCGAGAAAGAGGGAAAGCGAGAGAGACAGAGACAGAGCCAGAGTCAGAGAAAGAGACAGAGAAAGAGACAGACAGACAGAGGGAGACAGAGAGGGAGAGAGACAGAGAGAGAGAGAGAGGGAGAGGGAAAGAGAGAGACAGAAAGAAAGAGCGAGAAAGAGAGAGAGAGAGAGAGAGAGAGAGAGGGAGAGAGCGAGAAAGAGAGAGAGAGAGAGAGACAGAGACAGAGCCAGAGTCAGAGAAAGAGACAGAGAAAGAGAAATGTAGACTCTACCGCTGGGCCCCGCCGTGGAGACTCAGCATGTGGGCCTGCCTGATTGCAGGTGCCACGAAGCACAGTGCTGACCAGCTGCGCTTGCTGCTGGAGCGGCCAGACGCTGCTGCAGCTTTCACTGAGCGGGCGCAAAGCGCCCGCACAGTGGGCGAAGCGTTCGCTCTGGCGCTCGCAGAGTAAACCGTGCGCAGCCTGCAGATGAGGTACGTGGACGGTCGGCCTGGTTTGTTCGTTAAAATAACAATGTGGGCTCCCTACCCAGAACATGAACATGTAAGCATATACACACGTACACACTTATATACACACGCGGATCGCCCAATATCTGCTATGGCAGTTTTACGCTCAAAGGCTCTGCCGGTGTTGCGGCGAAGTGGTTGCGGGCGCGATCGCGGAAGAGCGAGCGTTCCGAAGTGTTGCGGAAGTGTGTGCCCTATCATGGGATGAAGCCTTACTCGCACTGATCGCTCCTTGAGAAGGTGTGATGCCTCCTGATTCCTGCTCCTCTCTCGCCCTCCTGAGGCTGTCCTTTTGGATTGCCTTACTTCTTCCTTGTGCACAAACACTTGCAGGCTTAGACTGCGGGAGTTCGCAGAAGATCCGTGGAGGGGTGACCGTTTTTGGGAACCAAGAGTATCGGCCAACCCCTAAAATATAGCATATATATATACGCGCATATACACCGTATACCCAATCCAATAAATAAGCACTATGTGGCGAGCCCCCCCTCAACTAACTGGGCCGGACGTCAGCGTGGACGAGGGACGAGGCTCGAGGACAGCCACGTGGATGGGAGAGTCGGACTGGGGCTTGGATTTGGGACAGGGTTGCAGACTACTCTAGGGCCAGCACAGAGTTTTGGGTGATCACAGACTGGCATAGGACGGTGCGCGTCTCAAATGTAGAGAGAGAGAGAGAAAGAGAGAGACAGAGAAAGAGAGACACAGAAAGACAGAGAGAGAGAGAGACAGAGAGAAAGAGCGAGAAAGAGAGAGAGAGAGAGAGAGAGAGAGAGAGAGAGAGAGAGAGAGAGAGAGAGAGAGACTAGGTCCTCCAGTAGAGAGGTTAGAACGAGGGTTTGGCTTCTATGCAGCAGCCTTGGTTCTTGCGCTGCGGACGGCACGCAATCTTGGCCCACCTCGGTTGCATGAACGGTCCTCATTTTTCTCGGTTGCATACCGGTCCCACCTCAGTTACATGAACGGTCCCCATTCTTGGCGCACCTCGCTTGCATGAACGGTCTCCGTTTTTCGCCCACCTGGGTTGCATCATTCTTAGCCACGTCCGGTTACATGAACGGTCCCCTTTTTGCTCAGTGGGACCCCCACACCTCCACTGCCCATTTTGCTCGCCTCGCCTGCATGAACGGTCCCCATTTTTGGCCCACCTCGCTTGCGGCTTGCGGTTGAGCTGCCTCCGTTGCATGAACGGTTGCGCAAGGGTCCCTATTTTTGCGCACCTCAGTTGCATGAACGATCCCTATGTGTGGCCCACTTGCCGTTCTTGCCCCACCTCGGCAGCACGAACGGTCCCCACCTCGGGCCCCCATTTTTTGCTTGCCATGACAGCCCCCATGTTTGCCCTGAAAAGCCCCTTCCTTGGCCCCACCTTGGCTGCATGATTTGCTCACCTCGTCAAACATGGCGCTGGACCGAGGTCACCGGAGGAGGCAGACAAATTATTCAATTGAGCGCTGCGAGAAACAAACGCATGTGCGTCAGTCAGCCACTTGTAGCTAAACCGGCCCATTTTGGGCCCACGAATCCGATTTCAACAGATCCGGGCGAGTTGAGAACGGGCCCCTGACATCATCGCGGACCTTCAAAGGGAGCATTTCTGGAGCCGGGGAAGGCCGTTCCAGCGGATCTCTATTTCTTGCAAGACCAGATGTCTCTTGAGATGTTGCGCCTGTTTTTTGGTGGTAGAACCATCGGTCAGCTGTGAAGGCGTTGAGAGCTTGACAACAGGCCCCCCGAAAAAGAATAAACAAATTCTTTCTTGGAGATCGACTGGAAATCCCCAGTTGCCCTTGTTTGCCCAAAAAGGCTCCCCTAGTTGCCCTTGTTTGCTCCAGTGGCTTGCGTTGTATAATTTAAATTTCGTACGTATCTTCTTTTGGGGTTGGAGGAGGAGGGAGGAGCCAACAAGAAACGCGTTTCGCTACAAGACACTAAAATAGCTCATGTGTGCCTTCGATCAGTTTGTGCCTGAGTTCATGATCTGTTTGAAAGCTTGTTCGTTGCACCGGTTGTAGCTTGAACCACTTGTATGTATGATAGAGTCGAGACGCCAGCCTTGATTAGCAGCTGGCCAGAACCAATCGAAATCCAGTGTTGCTACATGTTGCTGCTCCTTGTAAGCAATAAGGAGCCAGCAACAGAAACGAGGAAACAGCAACGTTCAGCACACATCAAAGCTTCCAGCCATCTTTGCGGCGGAGCATGCAGCCGCCGGAGCTCCGCCCCTTCGCCGTAGAATGAGCACGTGTTTGGAATAAGACACACGTTGAGCAAATCCTCAATTCTTGGGTGTTGCCAGCAAGTCAACCAGGCACATCCAACCGCAAATAGGTTGGCCCTGCCAGATGTCGTCGGTTTGCTTGGCACATTGGTTGGAATCCACCAGTCAAATGTGAGGGACGTCCGGCTGATGTTCTGGAACTTGCGTGATATTTCATGATATCTTGGACTGGCAGCACATACCCCTTGTTCATTCCTCTAGGTTCCCGGGTTATGAGCTACATTTGTATAGATCTGAATACCTTGCCGATTTCAGTTTAGTTAAGACGAATCTGACTGGCTTCAGGTTTGTTACCGGTTTTTGGTTTTCAGTGCCATCCAAACATGACGTCAAACACCAGGCAAACGGCAAGCCGGCAAACCTTCATCCCATTGGCCCACCTTCATTCATCCCATTCCCCTTCATGTCCGTTGATTTCCTCGTCACTGTCTGTCATTTCCCTTCGTTCCCCCTTCATTCCCCCTGCATCCCCCTTCATTCCCGCATTTCTCATTCCTTTCCCCTTCATATCCTGTTGAGCTCCCCTTCGTCTCCATTTCATTTCCCTTGATTTACTGTCATTTCCGCTTCCTGCATGTCATGGCATTTTCCCGGATTTCCTTTCATGTCCCCTGCATGTTCCCTTCCCTCGCATTTCCCCTTCATTCCCCGTTATTTCCATGCATTTCCCTCGAAATTCTCGAACAACACGAGTTGTCAACGTTTTCGCAAAAAGGATGTCAAAACAACACTGAGTTTTTCAAGGTTTTCAGCAAAAGGGTACCTGGCGGGACCCCCCCCCCAACCCCCCCCAAACCCTACGCAATTGACGTGTCCCGGGGGGGGGTTTGGGGGGGGGGGGTTATCCTCTATCCTCTCTTGGGTATCCAACACGCCGAACAATGTCGGCGGACTTGGGTTCCAGGCAGGCCAACGGAAAATCACCCAACACCCGCTTTTCTCTGCAGGACGGGACATCCTCAAAGGGTCTGTGGACATTCTCAAGGGAAGGGCATGATGCCCAGAGCCACGGCGGTTGGTTCTCCTAGGCAAGCTACTGGGAAGCCACTTCACCACCGTTTGTCTTTGATTGCTACCGACTTGGATCTTTAGACTTTATTTATATATTTTTTTGCGAAATCTTTGGGGGTGTTCCAAAAATTGGAGCCACAAGAAGGGGAACTTTTTGGCACCCGGGTCAACAGCAACCAAGTTTTTTTTCTCTGATCTGAAGATGGTACCCTTCCCCTCTGAGAGTGCCCAAATTTTCCAAATTGAACCCACAAGCAGGGGAACTTTTTTGTCTTGAGCAGAAGATGGTACTGTACCCTGCCCCTTCGTTTGGGTGCCCAAAACCTATTTTCGACCCTCGCTCCGGTTTTTTCCAGGAGCTCTACGACTCTGGGCTGGTGCACACGCAGCTCGGCGGCGCCTGGACGACGGAGAAGGTCAGCGGGAAGTCGCGCTATGAATGCCGCGAGGCTCATCAGCGGCTGGCCAGTCATCGGGTGCCTCGATGTGCACTGGCATCCCGTTCTCCGTGATTTGTTGTTTGTTTTGTTTTTTTTGTCTGAGCATGGTCGTGTTGTTTTTTCGCCACGGCGTCTGCTAATATCTTGAGTTCGTGTGCTTGTTTGTCACGTGTTTTTTTGGTGTTGTTCAGGTATGTTTCCTCCGTTTGAGGTCTTTTCGCTTGTGGTTCTTTATTTGTCGCCACTTTCAGCTGCCTTTTTCTTCAGCAATACCACAACCAGCGGCCAGCCCTCGTTTTGAGATGGTCTCCCTTGTTCCCTCTGGTTGCTGTCATTTCTCAAGCCTTCCCGCAAAGAACGGGCATTTGTACCCCATTGCTTCCGTCTTTTGGTCTCACGTTCTTCCCCCAAGTTGGTGCCATTGGGCCTAAAGAATTGGAATGAAGTTGTGGGACACTATAGCAAACAGGGGGCTTACTAAACCATATGAGCCACAATCAAAACCCGGGTAAATGAAGGTTAGCAAGGGATGATCCCAACCATAAATATCTGCGGCCGCCTTCTTATTCCTGTACATGGCTCTGGGTAGACCATTTGAGTACCAGGTTTTGATTGCGACTCATATGAGCAACAAGGGGAGGAGTGATTTCACAGTGAAAGTGGACACCCTCTTCATAGGTTGTGAACCCATATACCAAAACAACCCTTTTGGTCATCTCGTCTTTTCTCAATTGTGGGTTTCCTGATTTCCTCGTCTGGGGAAGCCTCTAGGGGCCTAAATCAATACGAATAGTTTGCCACTATGTTCATGTCACAAAATGAATTAGAGTTACCCTGCAACCCAATTCCAATTATCTAGTTCCTAGGAACCCCTGATTGATTCATGAAAAGGTGTGTGTGCTTTGGGGATTCATCACAGGGGAATATTCTATCAAACAGACGGATTCTACTTATAACGTTCACAACAACTCACCAAAATCGCTGGTTTGCGCTTAGTTTCCTGAACAAACTCACCCAAAAGTGTTTTTTGTTGGGTTCCTTTGGGCTCAAATTTGATTTCCTTTAACTTGCTGGTACTCACAGGGCATGTGGGAATGAACCCAGAGGTTCCCTTGAAGGAAACCACAAGGGATGGTGAGTCAGGCCATTCCAACTCATTCTCTGCCTATCGCACCAGTAAGTTAAATGTGAACCGTCTCAACAAGTCCACGAGACCGAGGTCTTTTTCGAGAGCCCGGTGCTGGTGCAGGAGTTCGAGCGACTTGGTAAGGAAACCAAGCACCGGGTCCCAACAACCACGGCTTTTTGGGAAGGGCCAAGACAATTCCTGACTTCTTGTTTCGGAACTCGGATGTTAGCCATTTTTGGCATTTGTTGGACCATTTTGGTGGTCAATACAAGCTTGGTTACTTGTTTTGGCGGCTCTCGATCGGAAGTGAGCACTATTGTTTAGGTTCAACCCCTCCAGTCTGGACCTTTTTTGGGAGCCCAGCTTTCATTTGTTGAATCCCAAGCGTGAAATCCAGCGACCTTTGTCGGGGCAAATTCTAGCGAGCTCACCAAGCCGGGCGCATGGTTTATTAGGGATTGCCAGACTCAGTCAGACTCAGTCAGCTCACCCATGGTTTGTCAGGGATTGCCTTTTGTCCAGTTTGAGAATGACAATTTGCCAGGGTGTCACTCAGTCAGCCCAGTTGGCGTGTCACCTCAGTCAGGCCGGTCAGTGCCGGCCGTGAGGTTGGCCTATGCATCCTGGTGCCGGCAACACACGCTGCAGATGAGACAAGTGGATGACTTGGCCTTCGAGGATGCAAGATTGACTTGCCAAACGTTGGGTTGTGATGCTGTCGTTTTAGTTGTTTTTGTCATGTGTTTATTATTGTTATTATTATTACTACTATTATTATTATATCCTTCTTTTTTTGGATGGGGGGGCGGTGTCTGTCCTTTGTTTGTTTTGGGGGGGTCTGTCGTTTTAGTTTGGGAACAGCCAGTCAGCAAGAGAACAAACAGTTTTTCTATTTCGCCCCGTTTAAGGCTTCCACCAGAAAGCCTCTTTCACCGGCAAGAAGTCAACTTTTGTCAAGGGGTCGAACCAGTCCCAAATGTTGAGCACCCCAGGAGCAAAGGTGTCCTTTTGATCGGTTGGTTTGGTTAGAAATGGATGGGTTCCGCTGGTGTAGATTGGGTTTACTCCCCGTTTACCAGGGGAGCCCATTTATTTTAAACCAAAGGCCCAATGTGTCAAGAAAAAAGCCTTAAAGGCCATTTTGGGGTGTCCAAATCCCTTGGCACAGAACCTCACCTAAGTTTACCGATTTTACCAGGGGTTTGATTCCCCATTTACCTGGGGCAAAGCCAATCCATCTATTTCAAAACCAACAGCCTACCTACTGTGGATGGACAAAACCCGTTCGTACCACTTTGAAACCATGACAAACCATTGATGGTTGGTATTTACACCTACTGTGGATGGAGGACATCCGTTACGCGCCACGAAATGACACCATGCATGGTTGAAACCATTGTGTGTTGGTATTTACGTTGGGGAACCGAATCAGAAACTAGGGTTCCTGAACAGTGGTGCGTTAGATGGATTTCGCCATCCACAGTATCAGGAGAACAAGGTCTTGCCCATCCACATCTCCGAGATGCAGCTGAAGATGGTGCAGGGTCTGCGCCCCGCGATGCCCTTCGAGCAACACCTCCGCTGTGTAGTGACGGATGAGGGGGTCAAGGTGAGCACTGCTGACGTGCAGCTCCTTGCGCAAAGGAGTCACTTTTTTCGGTGTGGTTGCCATTTTCGTGGTACACAAAGAATGTTAGATGCAAGTGAGCTGAGGATTCAGATGGGCCCAAAACCGTACGGTTCCATTCGCCCTGTTAGCTAGTCCTACTGGTTCACTTTGGGGGTTCTAGTAAAGCCATGGGTGTTTCTCAGAATTGGGGACATGTTGGGGGTTTCCTTTTGGTTTCCCTCAGCCATCCAAAAAGGGGTCCGATTCCTATTTTGAGACATCCCCATATAAACCTTCAGACGCATCTTACCAAAAGTCAGGCTCTGGGCACTCCACTGAAGTGGTTTCCGGGTTGTGTTTTGTAAGGGAACCACTTAAAAGTGGTAAAGTAGTCCTAGGAATAACCCACTTTAATTCAGAGAAGGTAAAGTAGTGTTAGGGATGACCCACTTTGGTTCAGAGAAGGTTCTCTTTTTTTTTTTTGCACCCCCGCGTTTTTCTGCACCACCAATCAAGTGGCAAGTGTTTTGCCTTTTCGCTCTCCGGACTCCCCAACGAAAACGGCTCTGCCCTTCTGGAAAATTGTAGCCTTCCATTGGCTGAGAACTTTTTTAAATGTTCCCTCGTTGGTTTTACAGGGAATCGATGTCACTACTGGATTATTATTATATATTTTTTTTGGGGGGGGGGGCTTAAGCAAATTTAAGTTGCCATTCCTTCACTGTCCTTTTTCGTGATCAAACTACCTGGGAAACAACAAAAACAGGGGCGGTAGTTTGCCGGGGAAGCAGACGATGTCCTTTTCTTTTCCCTCCATTTCCTGTTGTTTGCAGCCCAAGTTTGGCCAAGCCTTTTGATTTTGTTCTCCCAAGGCACTCCAAATGAGGATCACAAAAAAGGCACCCATATCATCGGGGCCAAATGGGTGTTTCCTAAGGCAGACCCCCTTTTGTTCCACGGTGTCGCTGGTTCGATCACGAGGGAAAAATAAGAGAGAAAAGGCGGATGTTTGTCCGGGGAAAGCGGATTTTTTTCCGGGGAAAACGGAAATTGTCCCAATACTGGTCAACAAGGAACTTGTATGGCAAGCTACCGCCAACGTGAACACCGCCAAAAGGAACCCACGGGAAAGCTTTAAACCTGTTGGACTGGAAGCACGTGCCGAGAAAAACGAAAAGCCTGAAGTTGAGCCTATGTCTTATTTGTTATAGTATATTTGTTATTGAACTTGTTATTTTATTGTTTGAGGTATTTTTTGAGTTGTTTTTGGTTTTGGGGTATTTATTTGTTATGTGTTTGTGTTCCTTTGTGTTGTGTGTGTGTGTTTTGTTTATTTGTTATGTATGTCCGTGCTTCCTTGTTTATTTGTTTCTTTTAATCCATTGGTTTTAGTGGTTGTATGTCTGTTTGTTTGTCTATCTATGTTGTTATGTCTTTTGTTACCTGTGTCTTTATGGTTTTCTGTATGTCGTTCTTTCCTTTGTCCCGTTATATATGTCTTCTTGTCTGTGTTTTCCTTGTTGTAGTTTGTGTCCTTCTGTTGTTTGCTCTTTCGTTGGTTTCTTTATTTCTGTTGTGGCGGTGTCATTTGGTTGTATGCTTGCTTGCTTGCTTGCTTGCGTGCTTGCTTGCTTGCTTGCTTGCTTGCTTGCTTGTTTGCTTGTTTCTTGGTGTGTGTTTGCAGCTGTGTTGTTGTTTGCTCTTGTCACTGGCAGAAGCATTGAGCACACGATTCTTAGCTATTCTTGCTTCATTGCGGTCGGTGCTGCCATTGTCCAATCGCTGCTGGCTTCATCTAAGGCTTATCAGCGAGGAGTCTACCAAGACACTCACCTGTCAAGCCCAAGAGGTGTTGCTTGACAGCAAAGGGCGAACCGGCGAACTCCTTGTCCTTAAAATGTGGACCGGGCATGCGGAACTGTCAAGAACACCCTTTTGGGGAAATGGCCGGCGCATGTCTGCTTATGTTGTGATGAAGGTGAGGTTTCTTAACTCCAGTTTGCAACTAGACTCTCCCTCTCACTCACGCGGCACTATGTTTGGAGGAAGTGAAGCAACTAGTGAAGACACTGAACAAACAAATACGCCGATTTTTGCAGCTGCCATATCGCATTGTGGATATTTGGAATCTGTGCCATAGATCTTTGGAACTGGACTGGCAAGAAACATCTTCGCTTGAGCCTTCCTTCTGCGGGAACCGGTTCCAGGCAACCTCCTCAGGAATGAAGGTTGGCAGCTTACCCCTATGATCACCAGTGGTGGCTGTACAGTACCCCATTATTCATTCGGGGTTGTCCTTCTTTTTTGGAGTGGGTTTCCCCAAGTTAAAGTGAAAAGGACAACCATGATTTAGGGGACTCCAATCTTGAAAAAGACACAAGCATGCGATTTATGTAGGCCCTTTCTTCATATTTGTTGCCCTCCCGCCCACCAACATAGCACCTGGAAGGTACCTGAAAGATCAAGGTCCTAGAGCGACCTCTCAGACGCCATAGCAACGTGGAAGGGCCTATTAAACTGTCAAGTCCTTAAGAACTTCTTTTTTGGCGTATCCTATCCATGGATAGTCCTCCCGAGGTCAACATGTTTTACTTGCTGGTGCGATAGGTAGGGAATGGAATGACCCCAAGAGAAACCATTCAACTAGTGGTTCCTTTTATTCGGGAATCCCCACATGACCCCTATAAGCCATCCAACCGGTGGTTCCTGTTATTCGGCCATCCCAAAACGGTTCATTCCATTTATCATTTATCCTTCCCTACTTATCGCAGGGGCGCGATCTTCCAGGTACCATAGCCCCCTCCATAGACACCTCCCCCATAGCCCAGAGCCCCCTATCCACGGGATCTTCCAAGTTTGGGGGAGGACATTTTAGCAACTTGATATGTTCCAGGTTTGGGAAGTAAACTGCAACCACTAAAGGGCATACACCCTCATTTCCCCTGAGAGTATACGCCACTGTACTCCAATTTCCTCTCCAGGCCTTAAGAGCTGCTTTTTGGCTTATCCTATCCACAGCCCTCCCCCCCCCCAAAAAAAGCCCCCCACATCCACGAGATCTTCCGTGGATAGCCTCCCTTCATAGCCCTCGCCCCCCCCCCCCCATTAGCCCATAGCCCCCCATCCACGTGAGCTGGGCGCCCGAACTGGGGGGGAGGTGGACTCGAGGTCGGTGCTGCAGGGCTTCCGCTGGCGCCAGAAGCCTTGGCGTTTCGAGGCGGACCTCGCCAGTCGGGGGTCCTTCGCCTGGCTCCTGCGGTCCCAGGCGCGGGGGGAGAAGGAGAAGGCTCCGGGCTTGGGAAATCGGGGGGTCTTTGTTTTGGGGAAGTTCTTTGGGTGGTGTCTTGGTTTTGGTGGTATGGTTGTTTTGTTTGGAGTGGGGAGAATTATCATTTTTGGGGGTGGTTTTGAAGATAGAAGGACACAGCACCACATTTGGTCGCATAGACACGCGCCCATGCGTATGTTTGTGCCAGAAAATGGCCAAACAAAAAACCTGAAAGCCAGCGCAGCGCAGGATGAATCATAGGTGGCAACTATCCCATGATTTTGCGGGCAGCTCTATGTTTAAGAGTAGCTGGAGGGATGTGTTTTTTTCTTGACGGATTTCCCGATGCTTCCAGTTGAACATCATGGCAAAAGCAGGGTGCCTTTGCAGGGCTCCGAAAAGATCTCCATTTTGCAACCATTTGAGTTACATGTTGCTTTTTCAACACCAAAATAAAGGTTGAAACCACCATTTACAAGTTGCAATGTTCAGGTGTTTCTATTGTGAGGATCCCTGCTTTGTTCAACGCAATCCAGAGGCTGGATAGTGTGGCTATGCCCACCAGCCATGGAGTGTGTTTCCCAATTCAACATGGGAGTTCTCAAAATGATGGACCCCTTTTTGGCTTGGTCTCTAAGCAAAAACAAACAAGGAACCAGCAAAAGATTCCACTATAGGTGAGCAGATTATTTTTTGTTGGGGTCCGAACTGGGCAACTGAGTTTATGGGCCCCTTTGGGCATCATTTGCATTTGTGTCCATGGTTCGGGTAATTTCCCGAGCCGAACCACCATGGGTATATTCACCATTGACATTGGGATTTATGTCCATGGAGGGTGTTCCACGAACCACATCGCCATCCACGATCATTACTTGGATGTTCGGCCAAGTTAGTAAGTGGTCAGCCACCTGGGGTATGACCTGCTCATGAGTGAGTTGGGCCAGTCGTAAGTAGGTGAAAAAAACATCACCCAGTAACTTGGCGAATCGAACACTCAAGTAGGAATCGGACTTGGGTGCCCCAACATGGTGGTCCTCTTGGTTTCCTTTTAGAACCCGCCCAAAACAATGGGTCAACGACAGACCCAGACCCAAGGATGCGCCCAGAATGGTGAGACGGGTGAGACGCTCTCCACCGCCAGGTAGCTAACCAGCGCCGCATCCTGCGGGCCCTGATCGCTGGTTTTGGATTCCTGGAGACTTGGGTCAAAAGAGGTCTCCAGATTTGGTTTTGTGATGATTCATGCTGTTTTTGTGTTGGGGTCCCCCTCAAAGAATTTTTTCCTGTGTAGGTTTTATGAATTGTCATGTTAGTTGTTGTTGGGGTCACCTTCAATGGACCTCAGTAGGTTTTATGTTGATTCATGTTGGTTTATGTTGGGGTCCCCTTTCATGAACTTAGGTTTCTGTTGATTCCTGTCGATTTCTGTTGGGGTCCCCTTTAATGAAACTGGTTATATACGTTTCTGTTGATTCATGTTGGTTTACGTTGGGTTCCGATGTAGGCACCCTCCAAGCAACTTAAGACGGAGCCGGCCAAGGTGGGCGCTTAAATTTCGAGGACTCCAATCAAGAAAACCGGGACCTCAGATGCTCCGTTTTTGCCTCGCGGCCGTTGGAGGGGTTGAGAATCCAAAGAGATCACGGGAACCAGAATCCACTGGTATATTCACCAGTCTCTTGAGGCCTTGCGAGGGGCATTCCGAGCCTTGAAAAGATGAAGTGTACAACATCTCGTGAGGACATTGCCTTTTGAATCTTTCATTTCCGTACCGCCACAATTTCTACCCTTCAGGAGAACATCGGCACCTTCTGCGGGCAGGTCGTCATCTTTACGGCCGCCCAGCGCGGGAAGCGGGAAGCCGGCGGGTTGCTTTCTGTAAACCTCCCCCTGAAGGCCCGGAGAAAAAAAATGGCCTCGACCAAAACGACTCAACGGGATGCGTGGCTTTCGGAGAGCAAGAGGCGCAGAGGGGAAAAGAAAGTGGAGCCCAGAACGGGTGGAGCAAGTTCCAAATATACATGTTGGTATGTGTGGATATGATTATGGATAGGGTTCGATATAGATGCGGATGTATTGGCTTTATATATAACAACCACGACGCCAGGGTGTCTAGGATTAACAATGCTTATTTTCAAGTGCAGACGAAATAGTTGAAAAGACTTCAAGACACAGCAGGTAGATCATGGGGGGGGGCTGACCATATTGTGTATTTATTTATATATATATATATATATATATTTTTCAGCATACCCTTGTGGAGGCAATCCTAGATTGCATTGGGGGAACCAACACCCCCTATGAATCTGCTAGGCTTCTTACCCTGGATTCAGGGCCCACTGCTTTGGCCGAGAACTTTTTCGCGGGTCGCGAAAAGAACAGCCCTGTGCCAAGGCCAACACTGATCCTTGATTGCTGTTGGGTTGGATCTTTAGACTTTAACCGAACCGACAAACAGTTATTCACTGTTGCAAAGGGGTCAACTGCAACCAAGGATCGATCTATTTTTATTTATCTTTTTTCGGTGGGGGGTATTGCGCGTGATAAATGATGGCAACTGGAAAGCCTGACTTTCCCTTGTTGGTCGGCTTTTAGACACATAGGCACGGTCCCATAGACACATACAAACATTGGCACACACTGATAGACAGAAACACAGAGACTAACAGAGAAGCGGGCATGCAGACAAGCGGACATGCAGACAAGCAGACACACGCGGGCACGCAGACACTAAGACATGCAGACACGAGACACAGACGTGCAAACACGCGCAGCCACGCAGACGTGCAAACACAAACCACACAGCCCACACATATTTCCACGCACGCCCACACCCACACCCGCTGACCCACACGCTGCTCTGGGGTCCCCTAGTTTAGGTTGGCTTCCTTCTGAAAATCCTTGCGTTTTGGGGCTCAGGGAATCTGACGTGACATTTTTGACTTGGACTCCCAAAAGCAGTGGGGCGTGTTTGAGTCTACTATTGGGCTACTGGACGAAACAAATTCCTAGTGATTCACCTATGGGATGTCCCCTTTCAATGTGGACTCACTCGCAAGGCAAACGGTTTAACATTTGTTGTCTTCATGTTGCGGCCGGAACCATCAAGGTTTACTCTCCCTCCAGCAAACATAGCACTTGTGGGAGGGTATTTGGAAGATGATGTTCCTCTTGGGGGTAGCCTCTGTCAGTATCCATGTTTAAACCAGGGTTGTGGAATCAAGGGATTTATTCCCACTTCTGTGATACAAGGGAATCTCCCCCTTTATATGGGGTGTTAGTCGTTGGGAAGCCCTTTTCGTTGTATCACAGATTCGTGGATTCCATTTCCCATAACCCAGGTTTAAACCATGAGCTATCTGGCAGATACTCCCCAAATGGCCATGGGTCATAACCTCTGGCGAGCCATTTTGGGGCGGAACACCCATGTACCACCCATTTTGACCATCACCAGGGGTTTTCCTGGGTTTCGACATCCACAGCCAAATGGCCGCATTTTCCGATGCGCGCTTAGCGCCGCGCCGAGCCGCGTCGTTGGAATCGCCAAGGCTCCTTCCTGGCTGGCCTTTGTAGGTCTGGCGCTGTACCAGCACTTCGGGCTGATGTATCAGCCCTCCTTCATGCGGCTCGGGCCGATGTATTGCCGGAAGCCGGTTTGCGAACTGGTGTTTTTTTTTTTCTTGGGCTTTGGCAGTTTTCAGAACTTCTAGTCTATGGCTTACCTGCCTTTTCCAGAACTTTCAAGTTGTGTTTGCAAGATTCTTCGTCAAAGTGGAAAGAGATTAGACTTTTCCAGTGAACTCTGAAGGGTTGCCACATTTCAACCCCAATCGCACTTGGAATCCCTCTACGAATTTGCCCCATGAGTGGAACCTTTCTTCAGGGGACAAGTCGGTCGACCCACCCAGCAGCTAGGAGGATGGTGTTAACAGGAGCCAAACCAATGTTTGGGGAGATCTGCAAAAAATGCAAACATAAACCAACAGTTCGGAGCTTTAGGAGCCGTATTCCTTTTGGAAGTACTTTGCAGCATCCGACAGTTCCTAACTTCTTTTTGGGGAAGTGCAAAGTGGCAGTTGTGTTTTGCTTCTCATATTATGTTTCCTTCGGGTTCGCTTTTTGACCGGGTTCACGATTGATTTCCCCTGGACGTTCAAGCACTTTGGGCCCATCGAGCGCGAGTTTCCTGTGATGCTCAAGAAGAAAACCAGGGTTGTGGGATCACTCGGGGTTTATCCCCACTCCAGCAATACAAGGGAACCTCTCCCGTTATATGGGGGTTGAACACCTTTGGGAAGCCCTTTTTGTTGTATCACAAAGGATAGGCGTCCTTTTCAGTTGTTTTGGCAAAAAACATAGATGGCCCTGGTTCACCAGGTGGTTTACTCATCTACCAGGGAAACCCATCTATTTCTCCAAAGGGACACCTATGTCACAAAGTGGATTCCATGTCAACCACCGCCCTGGGAAAAGCAGAAGAAACACTGAAGGATGTAGGACTCCGCTGTTTGACCATTCCAGGCTAGACTGAAACACGATGCTTCCTTACCGAAGGGGAACTTTTGGGTTTAACAGGGCTTAAAAGATACATTTCGCAACCATTTGAGTTACATGTTGCTTCTTCAACACCAAAATGAAGGTTGAAACCACCATTGGCAAGTTGCAATGTTCAGGTGGTTCTATTGTAAGGATCCCTGTTTAAGTCAATTTTGGGGTTCAAGCCAAGGATGCGGTCCCAGACCAGTAGTTGGATGGCCTCCGAGTGGTTCATCCAGCCCAGCCATCTGAAGAGCAGCGTCTTGAAGGAGAGCCATCCGCTGGAGGTGGTGCTGCCGGTTTTGGCACCTCAGATGGAACAGTCTTTAGAGAGAGAAACCAAAGCTTGGTGGTTCCCAGCCATCCCTTAGCTTCTTAGCTTTCTAGCGTTTAGTGGGGATTACCATTTAACTCACTAAAAGTTCAACTTTTGGCGGGGGATCTGAGGACAGCCCAGAAAAGGTTGTCTTTTTTAAGGTTGGACCCCTCCAAAATGGTTGTGTTCCATGTTGTTTCCTTTTTTTCCAAAAAAGACAGACCCAAAATCAAAACAAACCCAAAAAAGACAGCCCCAAAAGGAATTGGTTGAACAGTGAGGTCAACGCGTTTTAAACTAGGCCATGGCATGAACAGCAAGCTTCTTGTAGGGCCCCAAGCCAAAAGCACAAGCACCTAAGGGGGGCGTGTCGTCGCACGTAAGGTGCTATTGCAAGACTTCTGTTGCCCACTTCTGCGGTCTGTGCCCAATCTGTTTCTCGTGGCAATCAAATCATGGATTCTGGGATAATGCTCTGAAGGTGGACCCCTCCGAACAAATGGGCCATTGGATATATGATGTAGATACATAAACCATCCCTGTAGATTTGCCGCGAAGCGCCAAACACCAGCATGTTTAGAGAAATAGTTTTTGGCGAGTGTGCTCCATGTTGATTGCAGGCATGTGTTTCTTGCATGATTCTCGAGAAATCCTTGGGTATCTCAAGGAACATAACGGACCGGCGAATCGACTCCTATGATTTGCTCAGCTTCAGCTTCCCCCCAATGTTTGGTGGAGCCAAATCGGTGGTGAAACGGGGTGGTCTCCCATTTGACCTCTACAAGAACCAGGGGGTCCAATCAAGTGAAGGACCTGAACGAAGCAGCTTGTTCAAGCGCTGAAGGCCGGAGGCTGTCTATTTCATTTATCTTTGAGATTTGCCTTGGGATGATGTCCCTTCCCACGCAAACAGCAGGTGCTTGCTACCAAATCCAAATCAAAGGCTTTTTGAGTCCAGTGGTCATTTTTTTCTTTGGAGTGGGTTCCTGTTCAATGCTTCAAAGTAGGAGAACCCAAACCCATTTTTTCGTGCTTTCGGTTTGGATTCCTGAAAAAAAACACCCCAAACAAATTGCTTTCGGCTTGGATTCCTTTTAAACCACCCCAACAATTTAAGGGTCCCCCAAAACGCAAATCACGCAAGCAAGGATGCCAACTTTTTTTTTGTTCCGAGCCATCCGCTTGATCGAGTTACCCAGTAAGCCATGCTTCCGGTGAAACCTTCGTCCTTGTGCGCTGTGGCTTGTCTCGCTTTTGCTTTCGCGGTTGGCTGATCCATTGCCAGTAGAAAGTGAGAACTCGCTGGCAGCTTCATACGGTGGATGGACCAAATCCTGCACCCCTTTGAAACCATGGTAAACCACGGTTTGTTGGCATTTACAGGGGGGGTCATCATTCCATTTTTCTGAACGGTGCTGCGAAATGGATTTCGTCCAGCCACAGGACAACAGTGATCCGGATCTGAGAAAAGGATCTTTATGCACAGGCGTATGTCGGAAGGTCGTGACCCAAACGCCTCCAGTTTGACTCTCCCCGGAAATTCCAAGGAACCCCAAGCCCGCTCGGGAGCGTTTTCTATAGATGCCGTTATTTCAGTTGATTTCCCAGCGTGCGTGTGTTTTTTGTGTGTTGCTTTGCTTCTCTTCTGCCCTGCTGCTTCTCCTATCGGTGGGAAATGTTCATAGCTTTGTCGCTGTCCTTGGCATGTGTTTCTGACTTAAACAGCGTTGCATGTGAAGGGCCGTGGGCTGCAAAGGCCTTGGCCAAACCTTTCGATCTCCCGCAACACAACAAGCCACATGGGTCTGTCTTTTTTGAAGGGGCCCTCAAAATTGGTGATCTTCCTGTAGGTGTCCCTTTGAAACCCTCCCAAAAAGGGTGCCATATGATTCCAGGAGGAAGTGGGTTGTCATATTTACCTTTTAGCTGCTGCCAACACGAACGCCGTTTCTGTTGTCCACTTGACAGAAGAACCCTTTACCTTTTTGGACAATGATCGGCACCTCAGCTAAAACCGGCGGTTTTCACCGACGCCAAGCTGAACTTCTCAGGTGGTCCTGGACCTGGTGTCTACGCTCTGCAGCATGGGATACATGTACTTCGCAAGACACCTGACTAGTGCCAGACGTCTTTTTTCTTTTTCGGATGTTGTCCCTTTTACGTGTGTTTTGACGTCATTTTCCGGATGTTTTCCGTTTTTAGGGGTGTTTTGTTTGGAGGAGCTTCCCTGTCAAATCAACCAACAAATCTGCCCTTTGTTCCTTTTTCTTTTGGGGGGGGGGGAGTGTGTTTGCCCGTTCTTCCTTTCACAACAAGTGCCCCTTTTCACATCTGGAACAAGGGTGGTTCCTTTCTTCCCTTGGCTGAAGGTCGTAGTCTTCCATTCGGTTATCAGATTCGGAGTGCAGAAACCTCAGGGAAGTCGGTTTTCCTTTCTTGGGCACATACTGAAACAAATGAACATAGGTCACTACGATTTGAATGGTAAGAAATTGGTTGAGTCCAAAGCAAGCTCCCTGCTTCAGGATACCACTTCCAATGCTGCTTTAAGTTTGTGGCAGCCTGCTCATGGGCCCGAGCCAGCTTCATTTGCTTCCTCTTCCTCTACGACGCCTGGCAACCAGTGGATTTTGTTGGGTTTCCTGAGTGTTGAGCCATGTCCGCAAGGTGCCCGTTGCCAGTGGCACCCCTTGTTCTTCTTCGCAGCTAAGGGTTTCCCTTTTAAACCCCAACCCAGCCGAGCAAAGCAGATGCCCTGTTTTCCTTGTGGCCACGCTTTCGAAGAAACGTGCAGGTCACATGCATTCACATTATAGAGTTACACGACCGCCTGCCACCTGCCTCCCTGAAACTGCCCAAGGTGGGATGATTGCCCCAGGATCGGGCGAATTCTCCGTCTCTTCAGTTGAATCTGATTTGGGACTATGTGACATGGGGAGCAAGCACTTTGCATTGCTTTTTTCGCGAGCCATCCGCATGATTCCGCATGGGAAAATGTTTGGAGCACGGCTTTGAGCATGCCAGCTTTGCAGGGAGTCTGGTTTTTCAGCGGGTCCAAAGCCCCGACAAAGGTGCCAGAGCAACTCAAAAGGAACCACACACCCTGGTGGGTTTCCTGTGAAACCACAAGCCAAAACACTGGGGAACCGAGGAACTACAAGCCAAAATGAAATGGAACCACACAGCCAGGTGGGAAGCACTCTTAAACTCCACCCAGAATTTTAATTGGGGTACCGAGCCTCCCAAAAGGGCAACTAAAACAAGTGGAACCGCACTGGCCAGGTGGGGTTCCCCCTTAAAACCCAAAACCCTTCATTTCCCCCCTCCAAGCGCAGAGAGAGAAACCCCGTTCAGTCAGGTGGCCAGGTGGGAATCCCTCTTAAATCCCACCCAACAAATATCAGTTGGGGTACCGAGGCTCCCAAAAAGCGCAGAGATCCCCCCCTCGAAAATGGACTATTTTAAGGGGGGGGGGGGTAGGTTTTGGAACTCTTCAGAAAATGACATATCGGGTTTTTTTTCCCCCGCGCGGTAGGGTGCACCCCCAAAAGCTTACCTCTTAAAAACACTGCACTTTTCTCAACTTGTTGGGTAACACGGGCGAAAAATGTCTGTAAAAGATGAGAACTTCCCCAGGTTGCGCAGGGAGTTTTGGGTAAGAAAAGCTTCGGTGAGGTGGCCTTGACGTTGCTGCTCTGGATTCTGCTGGGCTGCATCTTGAACCCCGAGAAGCTGATGCCGGTGGCGGTGATGATCTTCTCGGGCTTCGGCCTGGCCATCTCCTTGTGGAGCCTTCAAGAAAAACAGACACCTTCATAGGTGTGTTTGTTTATTATTTTTATTTATTTATTTATTTATTTACTTATTAATTTATTTTTTTATTTGTTAGTAGGTGTGTTTGTTTATTTGTTTATTTATTTATTTATTTACTTATTTATTTATTTGTTTATTTGTTTATGCATTTGTTTATTTATTAATTTATTTATCAATTTATTTATTAATTGATTTATTGATTTATTGATTTATTTATCATGTATTTATTTATTTATGTATTTATTTGTTTGAAAGCTTTGGGGTCTCAGCCCGGAAAGGCTCCGGGGTGGTGCGGGGCGGCCCTGAGGTAAGGTTCCTGAGCTTGTTCCCTCTTTTTTTTGAACCCCGCGGCCGCTGCGATCACGCTGGTCCGCTGTTGTAGCGCAAGAAGGACAGGATAAGAGAAACGTGTCGGGGAATGAAACCACTTAATAATAAGCGTACCTTAAACTGCCACAGCTGGACGGCTGGAGTACATTAAGGCCTTAAGATAACCCTGTTGAAGGAACTCGGCAAATGACTCTGTAGCTTCGGAATAAGGAGTAAAAATTAAAACCGAAGCGGGACGTCAAACGCGCTCAAGCCTAGGGAGCCTAAGAACTCAGGGGAAGTTGAGGGAAGTGGACAAAGGGTGATGGCTATTGGGCAACATAAACTTTAGACTTTCATTTTTTGGGACGTCACCTCAAGGGTTTTCTGAAACCACCGGGTTTCAGGGAGTGGTCCAAGGAGGTTCCCTTTGCGCGAAGGAAACCTCGGGAACCGAAGCAACGAGGCAAAACTGGGGAAGTCTCAAAACCCAGAGGAACCCGAAAGGAACATGAAGGAACCCGGAACAACCCAGAGGAACCCTAAGGAACCCAGAAGAACCCAGAGGAACCCAGAGGAACCCAGAGGAACTTAGAGGAACCCAGAGGAAAACACCCTAGGGAGCCCGAAGCTCGGGAGGGGAATGACTCACTCCCTGAGATCGACAGACACAAATAGGATCACAGATGGTGGACATATTTTGACAATGGTTATGTCCTCCCTGAGTTTGCAGTTATGTTTTTTGGGGAAAGCCAGTTCAGTAAGACAAGTCTCCACTTTTGCAATGGGAAGAAGAGGCTTACCCCAGGCCTCGTTCTCTGCTTTGAGTTGCAACGAAGGATGCTTTCTGGCCACCGGTCTTTACCGCCGCAGGCTCCAGACCTGGTTTCTGCCTGGATCGTTTTCTGGCCGTATGGTAGCGACAACCTGATTTTTAAGCTGGTACTGTTTGTCCTGTGTTGGTTCTTCGAGTTGCCTGTCAGTTGATTTCACCAGAGAGAGAGAGGAAAAACTCTCTGGTGCACAGATATGCCTTCGGTGAGATTTCATGAAACCTCAAAGGACAAGTGACAGAAACCTTCAGGAACAATATAGTGAACGGTGAAACCCCCAAAGCGACAACTTCCCATTCGAGAGATCGCCCAAAGTAGTCTTAGGTTTTGCCGCTCGCTCACCCGTTCCTTTTGTTTTTATCACTTGCCTCCCTATGTAACCGGTTCTGACACGAGTTGATTCTGTGTAGGTTTGGTAGTGAAACTGTCCACGCTTTGACTCGGGCTCGCAGATTCAGGGCACCCCTGAGGGTGTTCCAGACGGGCTCCAGCTTGCACCAACGCACGAAGTAAGTACGCAGTATCCAAGAACGGACTTATATCAGAACCCCTTTCTTAGCATTACCCAACACAAACAGGTTCTACTATTCTACATGTTTGCCCATTTATGTTACCCCCGGACATATCAGTTCTTACACTCCTCCATAAACCAGACCCCAGGAGTCCCAGGCTCCGAAGGTGATCCGCTCAGGAACCAACTGACCAATCTGAAGGACGAGATGCTCAAGCGCCTTGCCTTGCCGCAACCTTTTGGCAGAGGGGCACGTGGGTAAGGCTTAGAAAGGCCCGTTGGCCTCGGAGAGTTGCCGACTGCGTGGTTCCCGATATGTACTACCGCCCTTAAAACATGTGCCTTAGCAAGTACAACTCACCTCAAATTGGGGGGCGCAAAGGAAATCATTTAAACCACCCTCTGTTGGCTTTTCGGTTGGCTTAGGCTTGTTTTTGAGCTGGCTTAGGTTGGCCTGGAGTTGGTTTAGGGTTGGTTTGGGGATTGTTGAGGGCTGGTCATAGTTGGGACCGTAGAGCAGAGTAGTTGATTCCGCTTGAAGGTGGTAGTTCAAAGGCAAACCCTCTCTATATTGCCCGAAAGCCAAGCGAGGCACGCAGAGAATCCGTTGGACCCAATACTTGTCAAGGGCCCTCCTCTAAGCCTCCTTTTTGTTTCACTATGAGTGCCTTGTTTGTCACTAAAACTCAACATGGCTTCCGCTGCGTTTGACCACCTGTCGGGTTGCCAGCTCCATAGTCTAGCTCTGGGAGAAGCTAATATGTCTGGGCATGTCGGGGCCCGTTCGATGCGTCAGGCTGATCTTCCGGTTCATCGATCCGCTGTTCGGCAAGACCTTGGACCGCTTGTTGAAAGAGCTGGACAGAGAGGATGCGCAGGACAGGGGCAGCAGCACCAACCTGAACAAGGCGCTCGGCTCAAGTCGCAGTCCGGGGATTCGGGGGTCCGGGCAACCAGGATGTCTCAACCACTGGCGTGGCGGTTTGTGAAGAATCTGTAGGAAATGGGAGCCATGTGGATACGCCTAAAGATAGGGCACCCCAAAAATAGTTGGTTTCCTGGTTTCCGCTTTGAAACAACTCCAAAAGCGGACGCTCAATACAATGCACCGCATGTTGCTATCAGGTGACTCAACGGAGGTTGGGTGACGTTTCAAGACTGTAGGAAACCAAACGGCACCCGTTTGGTGGGGCTGACTTGCAAACATTTCTGGCGTGCTGCCATCGCCCCATTCCAAAAAAGACACTCAACGTGTTGTACTAGCCGTCATGGCCCCTTTGCCTCCATAGGGATGGCTGGAAAATGCACGAACATCCAATACAAGTTGATGTGCATGTGTTGAAATCCTAGCCGCGAAATCCCAAGTAATCTGGCACAACATCCCAATCACAGGTTGATCGTCGAACACATGTTGCATGCTCGAGGCACGGAAGCAGTACAAGATGTGCCTTGGCAGCTTTTGGCTTTTGCGGGTTGTGGTTTTTGAATCGCGCTGCAGGCGCAGCTCAAACAAGGAGGCATCTTGTGGGTACAAGGTACAAAGGAAAATGTATGGAGTGGTGGGGTGCGGCACCTTTTTCCTAGCGGGTGGGGACCTGTGGTAGAGGGACAAAACAAACAACCTCAAGTATAGCATACATAGGGAAGGCAACAATTGCAGTCTATGGTGAGTAACAAACATCCGCTGTTGTCCACAGAACATGCAGACACGTGCTCACCGTGATGTCAGGAAGATGCTGATTGTATGTTGTAAGCTTGGTTGGAACAGGGATAGCTGGTGAAGAAACCAACAAATTGCATTCTCGTCCAAATGGATCCATGGAGGTGTCAACCCTAGTAGCCCAAAATGCGCGTAGGTTATCTTGACAGAGGGAGACCTTGGAATATTTACCCCGTATTATCATTGGAAGATTCTTCAAAGAGGGGAAGCCGTTTTGGGGACGGTTTCAATGGTAAACGAAAGTCTGGACTTGGACATGTTCTGAGCAATTCATCCAGGAAGTGCCTTGGCCTGCCTTTTCCCGCCGAGACGGAGCGAGTTGTCTTTGTGGGGTCATCCCGGGTCTGAGCCCCAGGGTGAAATCCTGCCTCAGGTACATTGTGGATGAGATCACGGATGATATGGAGAAAGCCCTGAGCAAGCTGCAGGCCAAGCAGGAGAAGCAGCAAATTCTGGATACCGCGGCGGAGGATGCGACACCAAGTTGACGCAAGTGACTTCCTGACCTCAGGGGTGTTCTCCCGATTGCCCCTTGCGGCTTCCGATTTCTTACGGGCGGGGCATTTCGGATTTCAGGTTGGAGCACGTGTATTCACCCCAATTGGACAAACAGTACAGGGGTTCGCGTCGGCTTCCTTGAGAACACCACTTGAAAGGGGTCCTTTTCCTATGTTTGCCTTCTGTCCTCTTTTGAGGTATACTTGTTTTTTCGAGTCTTTTGGAGGGACCTCAAATCAAGAAGCTGATTCGCTGCTTCCGAGCAACCCAGCCAGCCACGCCCCAGCACCACCCCCACCACCGACACCCCATCCCCGCCACCGACACCCCATCCCCACCCCCACCGCCACCCCCACCACCGCCACCAGCACCTCACCCCCCCCCTCCCCCCACCCCCAGCCCCCCACCACCTCACCCCCAGCACTGCTACCATCCCCACCCCCCTCCACCCCCACCACCGACACCCCTCCCCCCACCATCCCCACCCCCCCTGCCCCATTCCTCTGGAGGATGCCGGGGAGGCGGAGGAGGAGGAGAGCGACCTCCAGTCCTCCAGCGCCCCCTCGGAGTACCTGGAGCTGCTGGCGGAGGGCGGCCTGGGGATCCAGGACCACTCCAGTCATCCAATGGTCCATGGGCGGGAGGCCCATTTCCTTTGCTCCCGAACCCAAAACGGGGGCCGCCGAAGAGGCGCTTCTTGTTTTTTCTAGTGAACGATGCCAGAGATGGGGGCTAGGTTGATTTGCAGGGTGAAGCTGGCAAAGTGAGCATCCAGAAAGCCCCTAGTGAAGCAATCCTTTTCTGTTCCGCACGTTTTTGTTTGTTGTCTCTGTGTTAAAAGTTTCAATTCGCCTGTGGCTGAGCATCATTGTCTGGTCTTCGGATTACTCATCCCATTGAAATGCAACCTGCCAAGTAGACCTTCCAAGGTCCGGTTGGCTTTCCTCAAGTTCCTAACGTGGGAGCAGGGTTCACTGATGGGTTCCAGCGGATCGAATGGTTTTCAACAGAAGGACATTTGAGGATCATCCAGTCTCCAGTGTTCCTGATTCTTTCTCAGATGTCCACCTCGATTCGTCATTTACATCGCTCAATGGGCCCAGACTATCCAGAGAGTCGAAAAGACCCACCTTTCATGTCCCTAAGCACAATAGAAGGCTTTGCTTGGTTCACCATCAACCTCATTATTGGGGGATTGGGGGTGGGTTACGTCATCGTTCCGGGTGTGGCTCCAAACGCACAACAAAGAAGCTCACTAGAGCCAGATGTTGGCTTCCTTTACTTATGTTTGCTGTTTTGTTCTATTCATTTCATTTAGTAGGGGGCTGCAAAAAGCAACGTTTTTGCACTGGATACGAAGAGCCAAGAAGTGTCCTTTTCAAGCGCTAGATTTCCTCCGTGAGCTTCGGAGCAGCCCTATCTTCCAGTTCGTCTTTTCGACCGTCCAAGTTATGACAGTTCCCTTTTGCTTTTGCCGAGCGCAGGAGCGAACCAGCAAGGAGGTGAAGAACAACATGGACAAGCTGGAGGCGATTTCGCTTCTGAAAATGCGGCCTTTAAATTCTGAGGCTCCCACTTTCAGGCCCCACTTCAGGCCTTACTTGGGTGCTCGGCCATAGTGCGTGGTTAGTAGCCATGGTTTAAACTACCTACAACTGGCCCAACTCACTCAACCATCCAGTGCTGAATGGATTCAAAGGCTTTGCGTTGACCGTTTTTTGCCCCCAAGAGCAACACGAGCCTGCTGGCAGGGAAACAAATCGCACAGAACGCTTTTTGCAAAGTGCATCCTCAACAAACGGGAGTTTCCATTCTGCCATTTGTTGTCTGTATGGGTGTGGGTGTGTGCGTACACGTGCGCTTGTGCGCGTCTCTCCCGCTCTCTCTCTCTCTGTGCTTGTGCTTCTGTGTTTGTTTGTGTCTGTGTGTGTTTGTATGTTTTCTGAGGGTAGCCCTTGTTCAGGTTTGGAGGGAAACCAAAGAAAGACCATCCGTTTGACACACACACACACATTGCTTTCCGAAGATTTGGCCATGGATATTGGCGGAGCCAAGGGGCACACCAACCTGTATGAGGAGTTAACCCCTCCCCTTTCCCACCAACATGTGACGCAGTCCATAAGCATCAGGGTACCATTTCCCTTTTTTGGAACTTGCAGGGGTGGCGATTTCAATTGAAACAAATATGCTTTTCAACTTTTATGGGGCAATCCGTTTGTCTCTCCGGTCGTTTGCGGTTCATTGGGAGCATAGGTGTCCTTTTTGGTTGGTTTGCTCAAAAAATAGAGATGGGGTTTCTTCCATTTACCAGGGCCATCCATTTTTCCAAACGGCCACCTATGATTGGGAGGATATCTACGGGCGCTTGTGCGAGCGCGCGCCCATCGTGGAGACGGTGCGGGGTACCTTGGAAGAGCCGAAGCAGTTGGCGTTAAAGATCTTCGAAGAGCGGAAGGTGCGGTGAGGTTTGGGGGGTTTTGGGGCGGTTTTGGGGGGTTTTGGGGGTTTGGGGGGTTTGGGGGGTTTGGGGGGTTTCAGGGGTTGGTTGGGCAGTTTTGGGGGGGTTTGGAGGGCGTTTGGGGGGCCCCACCCCTTTGTTAGGGTCTGAAAACGACGGGCATCGATCGACCCATGTCCAAAACCTTGCGAGGAGCAGATGGAGCTCATCGAGACTCGTTTCCTGTCCAGCAGTGCTGGGGGGTCGCAGATGACGGAGCTCTACGAAGAGCACCTCGCTCTGCGAATCCGTGGAGGTCTTGCACTTGGGGAAAGTCTAGGGGTTGATTCCTTGTCCTACTCGTGGTTGGTGGGTGGACCTAGTAGGCATACCATGAATGGGGAAGGTAGCCCTAGAAAAAGGGGTGTTCGTTTAGGGTGGGTTTTAGGCTGGGGTTCGCTTCAGGATATTTTTTTTGGGTGGGGTTTTTAGGGTGTGATGAAGTGGTTTGCCGCTTGTGTTTCTTTCTAGCACCTGGGTTTAGCGTGTCCAGTTTCAGTTGGGGTCCGTCCTTTCGTTGGGCTTCCTTCGGGGCCTTCCCCTCCGGGCCCCTGAAATGGATGGGTTGCTCAAAAGGTCCTAACATGGGATGCCCATTGCTTGGCAAACCACCAAACAGATCATATTGCAACCACAACGGGAAAGTTTACCATGCTCATTGGGGGGGGGCCTAAAAGTTAGACCCGGCCTCTCCCGTCCGTCGGATGGCATTTTTTCCCACCCCCCCCCCTACACTTTTGAGCACTTTTTACATACACCTATCAAATTGCACCATTCAAAACCACCAAATTGAACAACCCTCTAAGTTAATCATTAGAACATTATTTTTCTAATGATTAACTTCATTTTTTAGTCCAATTTATCACCATCAGCCTGATCAACTTTCTTTCTTCTCAAAGCTGGATTATACAAAGGCATTGTCATTTTGAGTTCTTGTATCCTCTCTTGACCTTCTTGAAAATATTTGTCCTTGAATTCTTGTGTAGGTGCTTCTTCAACTAATCGTTCATAATCTGCTTTCAAGTGTTTGAGTATATTATCTTGGTGACAACCTCCAACCAAATGGAAGTCCCAAATTTCTGGGTTCACTCTTCTTTCACAAACATGGCAATACAAATATCCATTATTCGCTGTTTTCTCTCTACGCTTCTGATTAATGTCCTCGCGATTTGCTTCAAGATACTGTTTCCGGTATTCTTTCCTCTTGTCTACAGTTCGTTTGTTGTAGTCTCGTTTTTGATCAGTGCATTTATCACAGTTTTTGAGTCCATACACGAAACTATCTTCACCTTTCTCGTATCTACATCTTGAACACAGTTTTTTCTCCATACTTTAGTAGGACACCTTGCCTTTAGATGGCTACAACCCTATTTTCAAATAATTATCACTCCCCAAAAAATGGTTAACCAATGGAAAAGGGAGAATTAAAACCGTTAACCCAAATCTTGAAAATAATCCAGTAAAATATGGATGGCAATATGCGGATGGGAAAGGCCTATGTAGGAAAGCACCCCCACGGCTTACACGGGAAAATTAGACTAAAATTACAACATATAAGATCTTATATGTTGTAACTATAGTATAATCAAGAACTGAAACATTCATCTCAATAATAGCTAGCCGCGCTTTCATTATCGCTAAATTCTTCATCCTCGTCATAGAAGTCTTCCGTGCTTAATATATGATAAAATCGGATATGCCATTCTGCCTCTGTTCTGAATGGCATCATTTCCAACAGTGCTCTCATTGCGTCGTAATAACCAATGTTTTCTTTTGTCATCAATACTATCAATGAACCAGAGCTGTTTAAATTTATTTTCAATATCATATATGTAGGAATAATTATAGAACGCTTTCAATTCTAAATATATTTCATAATGAGATTTGGTATCATCCAATGCTTCAGTTAAAGTCATTGCCCAGAATGGGTTTCTTTTTACTCTTTCCCAAGTTGGAAAATGGTTTTTTAAGAATATCATTATACCTGTAAGGACATATATCATAACAGTGATATGACATAATATTCAATCTAATTTCCAATGGTAGATATTAATGTCGCACATACTTTACTTAATATATTAAGGTAATATTTCTTTAAGCACTTTTTCAGGGAAACTTTTAAATCAAGCGAATTATAATTACAACATATACGATCTTACATGTTATAATTATACTATTAGTCTAAATCTAGTCTCTCAAAAAATTCGTCTTCAATTCTTTTTATTATTTTATCAGTCGTTTTTCATTATATATATTATTTCCTATTTCCTTTTTAAACAAGCCCATTGTTCTAATTGCACTTATTACCGTATAACTAAGTTTATCTACATCATACTCACAACTTAAAAAATCAAAGTCATTATCATTCAATGCTTTCATTAAACGCCTAATTTTAAAAGACATACCATATAATCTGTTTACCAGATTATAATACTTAAAAATATAATCATTATCATTTCCTTCCTCATCGCCCTTATATAATAAATTTCCAAACTCTTCTTCAGTCAAGAACTTATTCATTTTAATAAGCACAAATATTTCTATATCTTCATCAAGATTTTTAACATTTCTAGTATTAATATATTTGCTATTCATATCATCAATTTCGTTTATAACTTTATTGCAATTATCACATATCATACATTGACAAATATTATCACAAACACCATTCAAAAAACCTTGCACCCCTGCAAGAAAAACCTTGCACGCCTGCAAGAAAAATCTTGCCCCCCTCCAAGAAAAAACTTGCACTCTTACTAAGGACAACCTTGCACTAATTCAATGGTTCAAGGACCTTTCAAACTTTGAGAATCTCTGACCTCAAGTAGGGGCGGTTCGTCCCTTCAACAGAATAATAATCTTGACCAAGTTTTTTTTCAACCCTTGAAACCTTGTATTTGACACTGCTCCAGTTGCTCGTTCTTTCTTTCTCGGAAATCCCTTTTTTGCGGTATATTTTGACCTCATCGCCAACCCTAACAGGGGGATATTTACGGGTTTTGATTCTGTTCATCTCAAGCTTCATCTTGACCTCAAGATGGTTTCCCTTTTTGTGGGCATCGTTTGGAGTCATATCGTGGGCAGAATGAACCATTTTACTGTTGTATGTCAGCATGATCTCGGGGATATAATCAACCCATTGTATATTAACCTTTCCCTTTTTCTCGTCTGCATCAACCCTCTTGAAAAGCATGTCCTTGAACGTGCGAATGAAACGCTCGGCAAAATGGGGGTGCCCTCGTGTTTTATAGTTTTGGATCCCTTCGTCCTTGAAAAAATCAACAAGATCTTGGGTGTTCAGGCTTCCCTCGTCATCCGAATAAATTAATTTGGGTTTCCCTCCCATTTTGTTTAATGCCTCCATGATCCCAGCCGTGATGTCGGCAGGTTGCTTGGATGCAATAGGCACCACCACGGCTTTGCGGGAAAATACATCAATAAGCAATAAGCCTATCCTATATTTTTGATTATCCAAATCATTTTTTGATATAAAAAACAGATCCAATTGATATTCAAAGTTGATATCAGGGGCAATAAACGAATTGTATCCAGACAGTTGTTTTTCCGTTCCACGTTCTCTTGAAACCACTCCTTGACATCTTGCATTGTTATGGATGCATCTTTCTTTTTTGCATCTTTGTAAGTGGTGGCGATGCTACCAAACCCAGCCTGATCGTAGTAGACCTCACTGATTATCTTGTCTTTTTCACTCATATATATAATACTATAGAATAAATATCAAAATATCAACATGTTATTTTATCACTGAAGCATCTATTACAAGAAGCACAGAAGGCAATGACATTATCCTTTGTATGGGGAAGATCATTACATAACCTTTGACAAGTCAGATTAGAATTTATATTACCAGAATCCATTGACAACACGAAACCACAGCCACAGTTGGCACACTTGCCATTGACGTTGTCCTTCAACCATTCGGCATCTACATAATTTTCTTTTGGAATACCAAAGCCATTTTTACGATCCTGTTCCTTGTATGCTAACACCTTTCTATCAAAATAATTCATAATGCATTTTGCGTTAAACTCTTCATTTAAATCACTACTGTATTTGTAAAATTTTACTCTGTTTAAATCCCTTGCCCGAGTGATTCCCGTCCAAAGCCACTCGCGAGTTATCAGATGATGGTTCCAATCAAAAATGGTGACATCGTCATCAATGGAACACCCCTGAACAGAATGACAAGTATAACAGAAGGCAAAGATAAAATGACTTCTCAAGATACCAATATGTAATGTAATCTCTTCTCGTGTTTTGATATTAGCAATGGTAATCCAAGGATCGGAAATATTAATTATCTCATACCTAAAATTCACATTTAACTTATAGGTTTTTGTCTTCCTATACTCTCTGCATATCATGATCTCGCCGACTTCAAACTCATTTTGTTTGCCCTGTCGTTTCCTGATCTGCCTTGAAACCTCTCTACAAGTGTTATTTAAATATGCGACATTGCTTTCTGTTCCTGTGATGTCATCAGTATATTTAAAATACTTATTGATGACATCATGTAGAGACAACTCATGCTCAAAGATGTCGGCATAAATGCTTTTAAGTTTATCCTTGTCCTCCTGAGTCTTCAATCGCTTGCACTCTTCCAAAAACAAATGATGGGGAAAAATGCTATCAATACATTCATTCATATAAATCTCGTGTTTCTTAGTGTTAGTCAGTGCTTTTATAGGGCTCAATTGCTTGGCGTCACCAGTAGCTAATATGATTTTATTAGCCCTATGTTGCTCTACAAAGCCCTTATTTTTGCCAATACAAAGGTATTATTAAAACAAATCTCATCAAACACAATGACATCAAACATCGAATGATCGTATTTATCTAGCTTCTCGTCATTGACTGCTATACCGAAGAATTTATTTACAGTGACGCTTTCCACTTCGCACTCCAAACCCAGATTATTGGTAGGAACCACGAACAACACTTTATAACCCTTGAGTCTCTCCATGTTCTTGCAGATGGTGGACTTCCCCGCTCCTGCGAATTTGGCCTTGATCATCAAGCACCTATATTTCTCAACAAGTTCAACCAATTCATTTTCATCATACTCATTAATGATGTTAACTCTCTTACTTTTGACAATCGGGATATCAACATATTCACACTTCTTCTGTTCATACAACTGCTTTCCTGTATGATGGATCTCATCGTGAGTCTTGGCTAATTTCCACCCACCGATCCCATCGTGAAAATC